AAAACAAAATTGAAAAAAGGGGGTAAAGAGTCGGTGATTATCGGTGATTAACGATGTGGTTTCGGGTCCCATTAGCCGAGGGGCGCGTCGATAAACAGGAAGTGCAGCGGGTGTCCGCTGGGTGCAGACCGTGCAGACGAGGCCGGCCGGGCCACACACGCCGAGCCCCACTCCAATTCGCTAATCGGCCAGAAATAGAAAAGGCGGCATCGACTCTCCCCCTCCCCTCCCCGCCCCCTCTTCTGGACCCGCGTCCCGCGTTGTGACCATCGGGCCAAGAGGAGCGCGCCGTGGCGCGGAGGGGCGCGGAAGGGCGAGGCGGGGCGCGGCGGGGCTCGCTAACGCTTTGAGTTCAAGTGAAGCATGCACCGAAAAGCGCGCGCGCTAGCCCCGAATCTGGGTCCTGGCCTTCCCCGGCCGCCCCCCCCCCCCCCTGCCGCGCCCCGTCCCTGCCCTTGCCCCTTCACATGGAGCCCGGGCCGCCTCGACACACGCTCCAGAACACTCTCTCCAGGACACTCGCGCCCCAGAACGCTCGCTCCAAATCGCTTGCTCCCAGGACACCCTTGCTGCCCCAGGGCCCCCGTCTGTCTCGCTCTCTCATTTTAACTCCGTACAGCGTCGTCCCTATTCGAAATTCCGAGAACAACTTGGCGGGAGTTTGACTCTGGATGGGCATGGGTTTGACGCTTCCGCCTCCAAGTCCGAGTTGGCCCTCGACGGGACTAGACGCCCCAGAAGGACGGCGCCGGCGGCTCGGCCTAGGGCCCGGCCCGGGGCTGGCGCGGGGCGGGGACTTTAAAGGTGGCTAAACAAGGAAGCGGGACAAGGGTCGGCCAAATTAAAGGCGGAGTTTGTCGAGAAGCGGAGGGTCAGCCCGCCTCGTCTCTCCCCATGCTGTGGGTAGGGCGGCCCTGTGGTGTCTCGAGGCGGAACACTCGTCGGGACAAAGCGCTTCTTCGAGGAGCTTGAATATTCATCCCTTGGCCGAGCTTCGCGGTTCGCACGCCTCGCGCGGCCAGACGCCGGCACCGCCGGCCCGGCAGCGCCCGGCAGTCCGGTGCGAGACGAGGCGATGACTCTGTCCTTCCGGATTCCAAACGTCAGCGCGGAAGTGACCTCGTTTCCAGTGGCGGCGCACCCGGCCGGCCTGCCTGCCTGCCGGGCCTCTGCCACCGCTAATCGAGCGACCGCCGCGCCGGGCCGCCACGCCCACCTTGCTATGCGCTTCCTCCTCGCCTTGTTGATTTACAGGAGAGAGATGGAGGGAGGGAGATAGAGTGAGGGGTCGGTCACCAGGACGGCGTCTCTCCGTCGAGTCCGAGCCCCGCGCCTCCGTTTCGCTCCCCCTTTCCAGCCCCCACACACACCGACACGCACCCTCCCACCCGCCCCAGCCGTGGCCCCGCAAACATTTTGTCACCCTGTTGGACCTGCGTGTGGACATCAGGCGGCAAAAGGGCAAACACGGGTAATCCCGTTGGCCTTTCCGCCTCAGGATGCGGTTGCCTTTTTTTCCCGCGGTGCTGCGGCAGTGCGGTGCGCGCGGTGGCGGTTTGTTTGTTGCGACTTGTTGGACTTGTTGCTCACGCGGATTACCGGATCGGCCGAGCGTTCGCGTCTCGCCGTTTGTTTGCGTGGCGCGTCTGTGGGCTAACAAGGATGGGCCGCCGGGAGCGCGGCCAGCGCCACCTCGCCGCCGACAACGCCGTGTGCAGGTTGGGCTGCTCTCCGCGCCCAGGGGCCCGCGGCGAGGACGCGGCGAGGGGCAAGGGCGCGGGGGCGAGGGCGGCAAGGGCGGCGGCCGCTCCGAAAATACCCCCGATTTGAGACGCGCTGCTGGACTCGGACCGCCCAGTGCCGCCGGCAGCGCCGGGCAACGCCGGGCGCCGGGCCGTGTCCGGGTCGGTCCGGGGCACCTGGCCGATGACGGCGCTGCATTCGGCCCTCGGCCTCGTTCGGGTGGCGTCCAGGACGACGGCGTGCGGGGCGTGCGGGGCGTGGGGCCGGAGGGGTGGGCGACGGCGACACGCGCTGTGTCACCCCAGTCACCCCGTCCATGTGCCATTTGCATAACGTGATAGGGATGGCCCCGCCCTCGGACCCGCCCGGCCCGTCTGGACTTGCTCCGCTGCCCTTCGGTCCTTCAGCCCTTCGCCCCCTCAGCCCTCAGCCCTCAGCCCTTCAAGTCCGACAGTCCCGTCCTTGGCCCGGGCTGTGATTCCGGCCCGAACCTCGGCAGACCCGGTCGCAAATCCCGTGCGAATCGGCCACGCGTTTTAAGCCGCGCGGATTCCCGCAGCGCGCCGCTTGCCTGCCTTTGAAGGTGGCCAACCCGAACCCTCAGCCCTCCCCGCGGTGAGGCGAGCCGCCACTACACTACAGCACCACTACGACCACCGCCCCCGCCCCCGCCAGTCGCACTGATGGCCGCCCGTAAAGTCTCAGGGTTGCCGTGAACAAACCGAGGACGGACGAGGGCCTATCAGCGCCGTTACACCGTTATTGGCGTCGAGTGGCGATGCAAGCAGACGCCTCCTAAGACGCCCCCTCCCCCTTACGAGAACTATAAATACATGTTGATGCGGGTGCGTGCGGCATGGGCCCCCCCCACCCCTCGCCGTACCCCCCCCCCCCCTCTCACTCCCCCCCCCCCCTCGGTGGTCGGAGGGTGGAAAATGGGACTCAATGGCGAGTTGAGCGCGACACGCGAGATTCGAGACGGTGAGGTTGGGGGGGGTGGCGGGGCTGCTGATATGACAACGGCCGCCTCCGCCTCCCCCTCCCTCTCGTGGTGGTCAAAAAATTGTTTCTCCCAAGATGGGCTCTTGCCCCCTCCCCCCACCCCTCGCCAATTCGTTCTCCGCGCGGCGCCGACCCGAACCGGGACAGGGCGGCGGAGCGCCAGGCAAGGCGGTGCGCAGTGCGGCGCCACGCGGACCGTGTCACTCGCCGTGCGCAAAGTGCACAAAGTTCATGAATAAGAAAACAGGTGGGCGAGACGCTCGTCGCCCTGCGTCCCCGTGTTGCCGCTGGTCTCGACATACACAGAGTGTGGCCTACTTTTTTTAGGGTGGCGCAGTGGGTCACTTTGGCGGAGCCTCACAGAGCGTGAAAATGTGCTCCGTGCCGCGGAAATGTCTCGAGAAAATTTATATGGCAGTGGGGTGGTGATGAACGCCATGTCTGTCAACATGTCTGGAGTATGGCGCGTCCGCCCCGGTCCGCCCCGCAGGCAGTCTGGCTCTGGCGGCCCTCTGGCGCTCTACCCAACAGCGCTCTCGTCTCTCTCGCACTCGTGGAGCGTCCCGTCGGTGCGCGAGAGAGGCGGAGCGACCTAACCTAACCTAACCTCGAGTCACTGCTTCGGGTCGGGGGGGGGGGGGGGGAAGCAGTCCCGAATCTCAGCTGCGCTCAGTCTCTGATTCCGGGCAGCCCTCATCACAGTGTGGTGAAGACGGAAAATGACGTGCCCGGCGAAGCTAAAATCAATCTCATTCCTCGCCCGGCCGCGGCGACGGGGCCGCCTGCGAGGTAGGCACGACGGTGACACGGCAGTGCGGCGGGACGGCCTACCCGGCGCATGGCAGGCGCTGGCCGTGCTCTTGCTGTCGACAAGTGCGGCGTCTTGGAGGGGCTTTCATGGGGAGGGCTGTGCTGCTTCCAGTGCACAGTGGGCCAGAAGACCGGCGGAGGCGGCCGAAATTCGAGACGCGTTTTGAGCTCCAGAGTCGCTACATGGGACTCGAACCGAACGTGTGACCCCACCAATGGATTGCTCTTCGAACGAGGAATCCTGGTGGGGTCACACGTTCGGTTCGAGTCCTGTTTAGCGACTCAAAACGCGCCTGGAATTTTGGCCGCCTCCGCCGGTCTTCTGGCCCACTGTGCAGTGGAGTGGGACGGCGGCCTGGCGCCGCCACGGCATGCCGCGGGGATCCGTTTTGTTTATCGTCGCGCAGCATCGACGGCATCCAGGATCACGACGGTCCGGGCGTCCTCGCTGTTTGACATGCCGACCCCCCTGTCCACACTGCCACGACACTGCAACGCGATGACGGGGCTTTGCTTCGCTCTGCTTGCAGGACGACGAGCCCGTGTTCGAGCTGGTGATCCTGCCCGGGACGGAGGCCGGGGCCGCGGCCGGCCAGGCGGCCCACGCCGCGCACACCATCCTCGCCCAGGCGGGGGCGGCGTCGGAGGCGGTGCACGTCCTGGGGCAGGCCGGCGACGCCCCCAACGGTGAGTCCAGCGGCGCCGTCGACTCGACTTTCGCAAACACAGCGTGGGGGGGGGCTTGTTTTTGTTGTTTTTCCCCGCCTCTCTGTGTGGGGCAGGGTCGAGACTGGTCGTTTACCCGCGAGGCAAAATGGAGTCCTTTTTCTGCAATAAACCGCGAGAATAAGAAGCAGCGTGCGAGGGTCGCTGAATGGGGACAGCGGGGCGTGGCGAGCATGCGGGGCGTCGCGCCGCCGGGGGGGAGGGGGGGGGCTAAAAGAAAAGCGTTTGGGGTGGAAATTGGAATGGATGGTATGTCGGGGCGGCGAGCAAACTGCAGGCGAGCGCGCGCTCCCAGCTCCAGCCGGACTGCATACACCCACACGCCGCGCCATGGCCGTGCGCAGTCGGGGCTGTTTCACTGTTTCACTTTTAAAGTCGTTCACGTCGTTACTTATTCCCAGCGGTCTGTGGCGGTGCGAGCCGGGGCGGGCCAGCCTTTCCCCTAGACAGGTAGACCCAGCGCCACTCTCGACGCGAGGAGAGAGGCAGGAGGCGAGGTGTCACTCGGGCGAGGACAGCTGGGCCGCGTCAACGTCGCGTCGTCGCGTCGCGGCGTCGCTCTGTGAGAAATTGATTTGGCCTTGCTTCCACGCGCTGCTCGCGCCACCTTCCAGGCGGGGGCGTGAACGTGGAGATGGGCGCGCTGCCGGAGACGCTGTCGGGGTCCCTGGCCGCGGGGCTGGCGGCGGCGGCGGCGGCGGGCACGGCGGAGGCCGCGGAGGAGGCCGAGGCCAGCGACAACATCCTGCCGCGCGGCCTCGTGTACCGCGGCATCTTCTGCCCCTCGCTCGCCACATCCTTCCTGGACGTGCGGCTGGAGCAGGCGTACCAGCGGTACTCGTACCGGCAGCGCCAGAAGGCCCTCATCGCCGTCAACCTGGTGGACCTCGGCGTCAAGGTGAGTACGCGCCACCGCCGTGCTCCCTCTCAGCAGCACTTCCACTTCACCCCCTGCCTCCTTGCAGGTGGTCCTGGCGGGCATCTGGAGCGTGGCCTACATGAACAGCGCCAAGAACAAGGACATGACGCCCGGCCTGGTCTGGTCGCTGGCGGGCGGCACGCTCAACGTGCTGGCCAGCGTGCTGGCCTGGTGGCGCTGCTTCGCCAACAACTACCTCCACTGGGCCGCCATCGGCACCTGGGTGCTGTTCAACCTGCAGGGTGAGTGCGCGGCGTGTCTCACGCCCCGAGGACGACGACGGCAGCACTGTTTGCAATAATCAGCCGGCAGGCTCATGAAACACTCAAATAATGGAGCGGTAGAACGGAGTTGTTTGGGGTGCTGCCTCGGGCGATCGGGAGCGGTCTAGACTGTTGGGAAGCCAATTTATAGCCGCGTTTTCAAGGCATTCTCTGTCTCTCCGGCGAGGTGCGGTATAGTACACTGCCAAAAAGCCGATTTTCCCTCGCGGTGTAGCGCGGCCGTGAGCATTTACGTCACCTGGCTCGTTGAAGCTGTCACGCCAAATGAGCCCCTGAGTGCGGCCGGGCCGGCCGTCGCCGGGCCCGGGGCAGCCCGAGGGCCGAGGCGGCCCGGCCGGAGGGCCGGAGGTGTCACCGGCTGGATTATGAGGAAAAATGAACCATTGTGGGGGCATTATTGCGTGGCTTGTGGGTTTAGGGTGGAGGGGCTGCCCCGCCCCGGGGCTGGCATGGCGGTCAGGGCCGTGGCCGTCGGTCGGCGTGGTCGTCGGCGTGGTCGCGGCCCGGGCGGACTGTCGCTGACGGCATATTGATTGATACTTTTAGCAGCGGACCAGCGCTGTGCCGCTGTGGCCGTGGCTGTGCAGCCATGAGTGACGGCCGGAGGACGGAGGGGCGGAGGCTGGACGCGCCAAGTTTAACGCCGAGCTCACCGCGGACGTCGGGAAAGCTTAGCACGCCACCACGCCTCTAGCGCCAAAGCTGCGCGGACTCGCTCGCCACGCTGAAGGCACTGAAAGCCCCGGCCGTTCGGATGGAACGCGGCGACGCGGGTCGCGGCCGGCGAGGCGAACGAGACCGTCAGCACGGTCATTAGCAGCACGGTCTGGTCTCCGCGATCTGAAACGAACCGTGGGAGGGCTGCTGCCGCTGCTGCTGGCTGTGTCCGCGAAGAGACGATGATTGCTTTCCGTGAAAGTCAAAGTGCTCGTGTTGCGTGGGTCCAGGTCGTCCTGGGCGCTTTGATCCTAACGCCGGTCAGGCTGATTCCGAAAGGGAGTTCTGTCTCTCTCGCGCCCTCACGGTCGCCCTGTGAGTGCGAGAGAGAAGGCCTCCCGCTCGCAACGATCCTGCAGGCCCGGTGAACTACTCGGCCTGACGCTCGCGGTTGTTCGCGCCCCCTCGTCCCGCAGCCCGACGGGTGGATTCCGCACTGTTCGTCGCTCCGGCCCTCTCGCACCCCGACGGCGCGCCCCGCGAGTGCGAGAGAGAGGCTGCGACGAGAGGGCCGCCCCGCCCAGTGCGACAATGGGCTAGCCGTCTGCAGGTGGCGCCACAGTAATTATTCGCTCACACTGTGAACACTGTTGCCCGCATTGGGCGCGTTGCGGCACGGCCTGTAGGGAGGGCCTGCAGTGTTGCCACCACCCCGACTGGGCCGACTGACTGGACTGGGTCAGGGTCGCCAACAGAGCGACCGTAGCTTTGGCTTGGCAACGGCTCCAGACAGCCACACAGTGTGCCACACACCGGAGCGACTTTGGCGAGGGACTGGAACTATGTGGGGTTTTCAGTCAGCCTTTCACACCACAACACACGCACTCCTCGACGGGTGGAGGCCGACTTCCGGCAACGGAACGAATAACTGACCTGCCTTCGGAATGGAGACAGTCCAACCAAGAGTCTCACCATAAATTGATATAATTGTCTCTACGCCGAAATTGCGAGTGATAACTCCCCGGCGTTGGGCCGTCAGTGGCACAGTGGAGGCGTCTGAGGCATGTCGCCGTTTGCCGTTTGTCCATTGAGGCCGCGACAGGGAGGACAGGGAGGGTGGAGGCGGGGCGGCGAGGCACAGTGGGCCAGAAGACCGGTGGAGGCGGCCGAAACTCTAGACGCGTTTTGAGCTCCAGAGTCGCTAGCTGGGACTCGAACCGAGCGTGTGACCCCACCAATGGATTCCTCGTTCGGAGAGCAATCTATTGGTGGGGTCACACGTTCGGTTCTAGGCCTATTCAGCTACTCTGGAGTTCAAAACGCGTCGAGGGTTTTGGCCCCCTCCACCGGTTTTCTGGCCCACTGTGCGAGGACCAGGCCAAGGGCTGGCCCTAATAACGGGCTCAGATATTTCAGGGAATTCGCGCCGCGCTGCCGCGCCCCTCGGGACGAAATATATCCCCACTTCTCTCTGAAGGCTCTTCAGACTGATTCCGAGTGTCGTTTTCGACGCTCTGTCTCTCTCGCACCTATGGTGCACGCCTGTGAGTGCGAGAGAGACAGAGCGACGAAACCGACTCCCGGAATCAGTGTGCTGACGGCCCTGACGGCGTGCCGCGTTGTGCGCCAGGAGGCCCTGATTGCTGTGATGGGCGCCATCACGTTGATGGAGGCCTGCCGACTCCAACAAGTGCAGGCTGTCGCTCTGTCTCTCTCGCACACTCGTGGGGCATCCCGTACAGGTGCGAGAGAGAGCGAGCGATGATACGCCGTGTGAAATAAGTCTGCGGCCGGCGCCGGGATCGTGCTCACCTCCTGAAGGGCGTACTGGAGGCGCCAGTCTGGGGCACCGTATGGCCAGGAGACAGAGACAGAGACACCTTGGCTGCTTTGGGCACTCTGCCGCGATCGCCCACAAAGGCGTGGAGGGCCGCACAGCGCCGCACAGCGCCGCAAAGCCTAAGACCGCCATTCTTCGGGCTGTGCTGCGACCCAGTCGCCGCGTCGGTCCGTCGGCTCGGCCTTCTTCACCGTCGTCTTACTTACAGTAAAGGGACGTCGCACGGTGGGCCAGAACACTGGTGCAGGCGGTCAAAACTCCCGACACGGTTTGAGCTCCAGAGTCGCTAAATGGGACTCGAACCGAACGTGTGACCCCACCGATGGATTGCTTTCCGAACGGGGAATCCAGTAGTGGGGTCACACGCTCGGTTCGAGTCCTGTTTAGCGACTCTGGAGCTCAAAACGCGTCTAGAGTATTGGCCGCCGCCACCGGTCTTCTGGCCAACTGTGAGCCGCTCCGAGTACTCCAGCCACTCGGCGACCACCTGCGCCGCCCTCCCTCTTCCAGTGTGTTTTACTGCCGGCCTGCCGCGGCCTGCACCGGCCGCCCTGTCCGTCCATGGTGCCGTGCGTCTGGCATGGTTTACGGCAGCGGCATCAAAGTTGATGGATCGCGCGGGGACTAAAACGAGGCAGCAAGTATTTCCAGTGGCGGGCTGCACGCGCTGCTCGCCGCTGCAGCGGGCTGAAGCCTTAAGCCGCCAGGGCCGGGCCAGGGCAAAGGGAGGAAGGGGGAGGGGGAGGGACCGTGGCTCGGGCTTGGCACTCCCGCGCGGCCCGCGGGCGAGGCGAGGCGAGGTAGCAGTATTCGATATGCAGTCGAGCAGAATTTCAAACCAGGCGGCGGCCGCGACACGAATGCTGCTTTGTGCTTTGCCCCGAGGAACGGCGCGAACGGGTTGCCGAGGTATCGGCTATCGGATGTTCAAGAGGCTCCCCGCTAACCTGCTTCCTTTATAAGCTTACTCAAAATACTCTGCCTGTAAAACTAACACTTCTTTTTTCCTCGCGAGGTTTTGTGAGGTGTTGAGTGCTAGCCAACGCGTCGTCCTTGCTGTCGGCAGCCTTCCTCGGCAAGGGCCTGGGCTTCTCGGACCACGACGACCTGGTGTGGTACGTGCTCTTCATCGTGTTCGTGACGTACGCCATGCTGCCGCTGCCGCTGCGCTGGTGCGTCACGGCGTCCGTCACCACGGCGGCGGTCCACCTGGGCCTGCTGAGCAACGCCCTGCACCAGGTACCGTACCGTACCACCACACTGCAGTGCCACGCCACTGCCCTTCCCTCTTCCTTTTTTCTTGCCAGTGGAGCCAACTTGGTTTCTTCTTGGTGTGCGGTGCCACGCCCGCCACACCTCCGGTGCCAATCTACCCGCCCCCTCCACCCCTACCGGAAACCCGGCGGGCCGTCCGAGCCGGCTCCACGGACTCCAAGGACGCACGCCGTCGAATCCACTCCCCCCTCCGACCTCGCCTCATTTCTCCTTTCTCTTTTCAATGTTCGCCCCCTCGCAGTTTCGGCTCATGTTCTTCTATCTGTTGAGACCGCGAACGGGTCACTCCCACCCTGCAGGGAGATTGTGAGCGGGGCTTCCATCGCGCTGTCTCTCTCGCGCGCCAAGCAAACGTCGAGTGCGAGAGAGGCGGCGACGAAAGGACTGCTAAGCCTACAGCGGGCCAGCGAATCGCCTTCCTGTACCTAGCTCGGCGCTCGCCCAACTGTGGGCTGATTCCGGACAGCGCGCTGTCTCTCTCGCACCCCTCGGAAGTGGCGAGCGGGTGCGACAGAGACAGCGACAAAAAGCAGTGCTCGGAATGAGCCTGCTGTCTGCGCCCATCCGTCACTGCGCCTGACTGCGCTCTGTTGATCCGTATTCCGTTTCGTCTCACATCTCGCGGGGCCCCGCGCGGGGTCGGGGCGCGGGGGCTCTCCGGCGGGGCCGGCCACGGATCACTGTAATGCCTCTGCCGCTTGGCTGCCCCCCCCCCCCTCCCTCCCTTTTATCGTCTTCGCTGAAATGCCCTGCGTTCTGCGCGCCGCACAGTGGGCCAGAAGACCGATGGAGGCAGTCAAAATCCCGGACGCGTCGCTGAATGGGACTCGAACCGAACGTGTGACCCCACCAATGGATTGCTCTCCGAATGAGGAATCCATTGGTTGGGTCACACGTTCGGTTCGAGTCCCATTTAGCGACTCTAGAGCTCAAAACGTATCCGGGAATGTCGACCGCCTCCACCGGTCTTCTGGCCCACTGTGCGGCGGGCCACTCGCTTCGTTTGTTGACTGTTCCACTGTGTCCGCTCGCCTCGCAGCCCGAGCAGGCCGTGGGCGTGACCGAGAAGAAGCTGATCGCCAACTCCATCCTCTACATCGGCGTCAACTTCGCCGGCATGTACGCGCGCTACCTCACGGACCGCTCGCAGCGCAAGGCGTTCCTCGAGACGCACCGCTCCGTGGAGACGCGCTACCGCACGCAGAAGGAGAACGACCGCCAGGAGAAGCTGCTGCTGTCAGGTTCGTGCTGCCCCACGCCCCACTCGGCCTCCCGGACCGTCTCGGACAAATCGGGCTTCGTTCTCAATTAACTTGCCGCCTGTTGTTGGTGCTTTGGAGGCAATTTCAGCCTCCGACTGGCGGCAGCGCGGCAGCGCGCTCTATTGTTTTTACATTCTGTGCTGTAATGGTGCCGTCCAGACAACAGGGATCAGGGAAAGAGAGAGAAGGGAGGACGGCGGTGCACACCACGCGCAGCGCGCAGCGCGCAGGGCCGCGAAGGGACGAGGAGGCGACGCTCACCCCTTTTCTGTTTGGCAGTGCTGCCCGATTTCGTGGCCAGGGAGATGATCCAGGACATCGCCCAGGAGGAGGAGAAGGGCGCCTTCCAGCCCAACCAGTTCCACAAGATCTACATCCACTGCTACGACGAGGTGTCCATCCTGTTCGCGGACATCAAGGGCTTCACAGGTCGGTCGGCTGTCTCTCTTTCTCTTTCGCTCTCCGGGCATTGTTTGGCGACGTGTCCGGTGTCCGGAGTCAAGCACGATGGTCCACATCCGATGTGGGGCACGGAACATGTAATATCCGCGCGAGCTGCAGCAGCGAGCGGCAGCAAGTCACCGCTCTGGGAAGTGAAGTGAATCCACTACTATGTTGTTGCTGCATTGCTCGCTTGTTGTTGCAGCCCTGGCCAGCCAGTGCTCCGCGCAGGAGCTAGTCAGCGTCCTCAACGACCTGTTCGCCCGCTTCGACAAGATAGCCACGGTAAGGCCCGTGGCACTGTGAAAGGGGAAAGGGGGTGGGGGAGGGGTGGAGTGGGGGGCGGAGCGGCCCCAGTGATTCGAAGCCCTCCAACCTTACCTGCCTTCTATCACCGCCTGGCCCCACCTCACTGGCGCGCACACTAACCGACACACACACTCACACGCACACGCACGCAGTTTCTCTATCATCTTCCCCATGTCACCCATCTAACTGCAATTGATTGGTCCAAACCCACAACAACAGAAGTTGCTGTAGTTCTTGATTTTCCTGGAAAATCCCTCCGCTTGGTATCTTTTTCTGTCCCCGTTTTTCTTCCACCTGTTTTTTTTTCAGTGCTCGCGCGGTGTACACTTCAGAAAATAATTTTTGAAAAAATGTATTTTGTGACTTATTTGCACAGACAAGGTACTAGTCTGCACGTGCGGTACACGCTCGGGGCCACGAACGGGCACCCACCCACACATACGCACACACATGGATACACTCACTCAACTCCCATAATTGCAGGGCCGCGCTGCCGCGCTATTGAACGCATCGAGACAAGGCTGTCTCTTTGATGCGGTGGGTGGGCCCCCCCGGCCCTTCCCAGCCCCTCCTCACTTCGGCAAACTAAGACGAGAATGGACCGAAAATGGCAAGGGCCCGTCCCTTCCCCTTCGGACCTTCGGTCTCTTCGAACGGCCACGCCCGAGGGCTTTCAAAAGGCTTTCAAAGGACCTCCCGAAGGCTTTCCGAAGGCACCCCGCAGGGAGTGGAGGCGTTTTCAAGGTTTTGAACCTGTTGCAGGAGAACCACTGCCTGCGCATCAAGCTCCTGGGCGACTGCTACTACTGTGTGTCGGGGCTGCCCGTCGCGCGCAAGGACCACGCCGTCTGCTCCGTCGAGATGGGCCTGCACATGATCCAGGCCATCTCCGCCACCCGGGAGCGCACCAAGGTCGACCTCCACGACCTCCATGACCTCCATGACCTCCATGACCGCCATAACCTCCGTGACCTCCACTGCCTGCTAGACACGCGCGACCCGTTATGTCCTTTGGCCATTCGAACAACTTTTGCCGCGGGCGTGCGCGGCCCGCCAATTACTTGCAGCTGCACTAATTTCAAAGCAACTATAGCGCCGTTGTTTCAACTGTGCGACGGAAACTGGAGTCGTTTGACTGTGCCCTGCGCGGCCCTGCGCGGCCGGTGCCGGTGGCCCCTCTCCCACGCTTGCATTGTCCACAGGGCAATTTCCCCCTCCCCCTCCCGGCCTCGTCCTCCCTGCGGGCTCATATCGTCTTTCGGCCGGCCGTCCTGGCTATCCTCGGAACACCGCAGTGTTTGTCTGTCCGTCATCGATTCTGGCCATGTGTACCCGAAATACGAAAACGGTCCAGGGGACGGTCCAGGGGACGGCCACGACCGGGCTTGGGGTGGCGTTGGACCGGGCCGACCGGGCCACTGCTGGAAGTCACCGCCGTCTTTCATGTTTGTTTTTGTTTTTGGCGGTCCCCCTTAACGCGACTACCGGCCGGCAGGTGGCGCTGGACATGCGCATCGGCATTCACTCCGGGTCGGTGCTGTGCGGCGTGCTCGGCCTGCGCAAGTGGCAGTTCGACCTGTGGTCCTACGACGTCACCCTCGCCAATCACCTCGAGTCCGGCGGCGTGCCAGGGTAAGTGAAGCGAAAGTGAGCCTGGACGCCCTTTGATTTCCAGCGCCGCGTCGGGGCCAAATGGCAGCCGTGTCCGGTCGTGTCAGTGGAAAGAACGCAGGGCCGGCAGGTGTGAGGGGGCGTGCAAGCGTCGGCAAGCGGCATGCCAGTGGTATGCACACTGCGCACGGCGCCTGGCGTGGCCTGGCGTGGCCTGGCGTGGCCTGGCGTGGCCTGGCGCCTCGGGCCAGATACCACCAATTTCCAATGCAAAGTGGTTGGCCGAGGGGCACCCACCCCGCACCCGCGGCGCACCCGCCCCACCCACACGCTCGCACTGCGCGCACCCGGCCCGAGGGCCCTTCAACGCAGGCCCGGCCCGGGCGGGCGTTCGGTACCTGACGCCGGGGTGGTGAGCCAGCTTAACGATGCCGCCAGGCTGGTCGTAAAAGGAGACGTGGTTTCGAATACCGGCCGCCATTCAGTTTTTCGTATTTTTCGCAACTTGCGCAGGAGGGTCCACATTTCGCAGGCGACACTAGACTGCCTCGGCGGCGCGTACGACGTGGAGCCCAGCAACGGCGGCGACCGCGACGCCTACCTCAAGGTGGGTTTCACCATGGTTTCACCATGGTTTCACATCACCGTTCGGTACCTTCAGGTGTTTCCAAACGTGCCCGTACCTTTCCCTAGGAGCACGACGTCAAGACCTACCTCATCAAGAACACGGAGCCATTGCGGAACAGGGGGCGCGCGCGCCACCGCGCCAAGCAGGCCGCCGCCCAGAAGAAGAGCCACCTGCTGCAGCCGCCGGGCAGCGTGGTGATGGACGTCGTCATCGACGTGCCCCCAGGTGAGTCGCGGACACGCGAAGCGACACGCCCCGAGGACGTGAGAGCAGGCCGTGACCGCCGCCGTACCGCCGTGTTTGTCGCAGAGGTCGACGACAGCCAGCCCGCCGAGGTGATGGTGGTGCCAGAGCGCGGCGCGGACGTGACCGCCAAGAACGCCGCCAACCCGGACGCCATCGACAAGTACCCCGCGGCCAAGGAGGCGGGCGCCGCGCCCGCGCCGGCCCAGGATTGGACGCCGGAGATCCCCTTCAAGGACGTGCGTAGCCTCGCTTAGCTTACTTTCCTTTTCCTTGCTCGCTGTCTGAGTGGTGGCGGGCGAGCGCCGTGACGCCAGGCCGCCCGCCGCCTGGCCGTGCGCGGCGGCACGGCCTACCCCGCCATCCGCAGGCGCCGTGCCACCTCGCGTGCCACACTGTAACACTGTCTAACCTCGGGGCCCCGACTCGACTTGGCTCCGCAGCTCAACGACCCCCGCGTGGACCCCGACGAGGACTCGTTCTTCGAGGACAACGACCGGTCGGCCTCGCCGATGCAGGGCAACACCGACAAGGAGCCCAGCGACGTGGGCCTCATCATGGACCACTCCATGGAGATCGAGAGCAACGAGCGCATGCGCAAGGAGAACCTGCACCGCTGGACGCTGCGCTTCATGGACGAGGAGATGGAGGACAAGGTGCGCGATCAGATCTTGAGCAAAATTTCAAGAGTAGGTGCACGGTAAACCTACACACTGGTGTGCATCTCTGTTTCCCTTGTTTCTCCAGTTCTGCGCCTTGAAGGAGGTGGTGTTCAAGTCCAACATGGTGTGCTGCTACTTGCTGTGGCTGCTCATCGTGGCCGTCCAGCTGATCATGATGCCCAGGTCTGTGCCACTCTCCATCGTAAGCACCCGGACTTTTTCCAGTTTGTCACAGTCACTTTTTTCGTTTTAACGTGACAGAACTAAACTTCAAATCTTTTCGCTGTCCGGGGACACGGCCTTCCTGACCCTGGCCATGGTGATCGTGATGGCGGAAGAGTTCGAGTGGATGCCGCGGGGCGTCCGCTTCGTCTCGACGCAGCTCACCAAAAACCGCCACTACCGCACCGTGTTCATCTGCTTCCTGCTGTGCTCCATGGGCTGCTTCTCGTCGCTCAGTCTGGTGAGTCCGTCGGCGAGGTGTGGCCGTGTGTGCCGCCCCGTTCTCAGGCTGACGCCCGTTCTTGCCGCAGGCGGTGTGCGCCTACAACATGCAGAGCCAGACGGTGGCGAGCGGCGGCCACAGCACCGCGTCGGTGTACACGTCGGCGCCCGTGGCCTTCATCACGCCGGTCATGGCGGCCGTGGCGCAGCCCGACCAGCCCGGCCAGGCCGGCGACGCGGGCTGGCAGCAGCGCGCCGAGGCGAGGTTCCGGCCGTTCCGGCACCGCCGCGACTGCGTGCAACAGGTACAGCCGCCGTCTGCCGTGCGTGGCCGCGCCGGCCGCGCCGGTGCTCCAGGAAGCCGAGAGCCTAGAGGCTCGACGCGGACGTTGAGGTTCTTTCTGCCACGCCAGGGCCAGGCCTTCTCCCGCTGCCGCTACCGCCGCGCGGCCTGGGCCAAGGCCTCCTCGGCCAAGCCCAAGCGGCGGATCGTCCCCGGGGCCCCCGGCGCCCCCGTGGCCGTGCCGACCGCCGCGTACGACAGCACCACCACCCAGGCGGACGCGGGGATGATGGAGGGCTGCTCCACGCCCGAGTACTCCGTGTACACGTGGGTGGTGTGCCTCGTGGCCGTCGCCACCTGCCTCAAGCTCTACTTCATGGTCAAGATGGCGCTGGCGTCCGTGTTCGTCCTGTCGCACTCCGTCCTCATCCTGTGCCTCTTCCCCTACGTGTACACCGACGGCAGCGAACGCAGTGACCGCACGTGAGTGAGAATTCATGCTGTTGGAATGTCGGAGCAACACTATAAATCCTTTCGAAGGGAATTGTATGCACCCAGCTCGCTTATACCAGGGCCCCTTCCGCACGCAGGTTGCCCATGCTGACGCTGCTGGGCGTGTTCCTGACCATGGTGATCCACCACGCGCGCCTGGTGGAGATCATCTCTAGGCTGGACTTCCTGTGGAAGCAGCAGGCGGCCCGCGAGCTGGAGGAGATGCTGGAGACCAGGCACAACAACATGCAGCTGCTGCGCAACATCCTGCCCGACCACGTGGCCACCCACTTCCTGTCGCAGGACCGCCCCCCGGAGGTGGCTTGAGCAAACCTCGCACGCCGATTCCGAGAGTCGTTTTCGTCGCTCTGTCTCTCTCGCACCCATGGGGCGTCCCATGTAGGTGCAGAGACAGAGCGACGAAAACGAATCTCGGAATGAGCCTCAGGCTGGGCCTGTGGCACACGGATAGGGCTGGGACTCATCGTCACTCTGGCCGTCCCGGGTTGCAGGAGCTGTACTCGCAGGCGCGCGACAGGGTGGGGGTGCTCTTCGCCAGCATCCCCAACTTCACCGAGTTCTACAACGAGGACGTCAACAAGGGCATGGAGTGCATTCGCCTGCTCAACGAGATCATCGGTAAGTCATTCCCCGCGCATTCCAAGCGTGCGAGTGAGAGCGCGATAACGCAGCTTTTCTCTGTTTCTAGCCGACTTCGACGAGATCCTGGACGAGCCCCGGTTCAAAGTCATCGAGAAGATCAAGACGGTCGGGGCCACGTACATGGCCGCCTCCGGCCTCGGCACCCTCGAGGTACGGAATGGGTCCGTCCGGGCCTCGCGGAAATAACAAAAAGAACGAAACCGAGCTTTATGTTACACGTTCCATGTTTCCGCAGCCCGGCGAGGACGCGTGGGACCACCTGTGTGCTCTCGTGGACTACGCCCTGGCGATGAAGACGAGGCTGGACGAAGTGAACAAGCACTCGTTCAACGCCTTCCACCTCCGCGTGGGTGAGTAGCGGCCTGGCGGCCTACATGCTCCTCCCCTGTGTCGAACGCGCGGCGCCGCAGACTCGTTGACGGCGTGCTCTCTGCCCTGGCAGGCATCAGCTGCGGCCCGGTGGTGGGCGGCGTCATCGGCGCGCGCAAGCCCGTGTACGACGTGTGGGGCAACACGGTGAACGAGGCCTCGCGCATGGACTCGACCGGCACGCTGGGCATGATCCAGGTGCCCAGGGCGACGGCCGAGGTGCTGGAGGCGCGTGGCTTCCTGCTGGAGCCGCGGGGCCTGGTGGCGGTCAAGGGGAAGGGCCACATGGAGACGTGCTACGTGCTGGGCAGGGTGTCGGGCCGCTCCTCCGCCATCCGCCGCCAGACGTCCACGTACAGCTCGCTGGCCGCGGTGGTCTACGGCATGGTGCAGGCTCGCCGCCGGCAGACCCTTCGCGCCAAAGGTAAGTGTCGCGCTGGTGCTGGCTTACGCCGCCAAACCCACCGTAAAACGTGTTGCATTTGTTGGGAAGGCAAAAGCACCTCGGCTCTGAACACGGAGCGTGGCCCGAGGCGTCGCCCCTGGGCGTGAGCAGGCAGTGCCGGCCACCAGCAGTGTGGGCAGAGCGGGGCAAAGCCGCTGCGAGAGCCGTGGTGTTTTCCCCTCCCTGACAATCCGGTCCGAATCCGATTCCATCCGATTCCGGTTCGGTCCGGTCCATGAGGCTTTCACATTGCGTCGACTCCACAGCCGTCAAGGGTCTTGGCGTCTTCAGCCCGCTGGCCGGTCTGGCGGGGGCCGTGGGGGCGCTGGGGGCGTCCGTGGCCGACCGGGGGGTCGCGCTGTGAGGCTGCGACTAGGCTGCGACTAGGCTGCGACCACCCCCACCCCCGCCACACGCCCCCCTGGGCCCCCGCCCCACACCTAGGAGAAGTGCGCCCGTGGTAATCGTACGATGCCGATTTCAGAGTGTCTCCCCCAAAGTAGCCGTGGTGAATTCCACCTCGAATTTGCTCTGCGTTCTGTGCTCCCTCTTTTTCCCCCTGCCCTCTGCATCTTGGCCCTCCCCTTGTGATGCTGGATGCCCTGCCAGGAATGGAGTGCTCCCCGCTGCCGCACGCTGCCGTGCTGCCTGCTGACGTTGCCCGCCTTCTTGCAGGTCCCCGCGCTCTTGGCCGCGCCCGCAGCCAGGGCCGGCACGGCGAGCGCCCCTACCACCAGGGCTCTAGAAGTAGAATCGCCAACTTCAGCAGCTTCAGGGAGTCACAGAAGGGCGGTAACGAAGTAAGTGGGAACTGCCACGGTTATGCCGCGGCCTGTGATACCCGGAGGGAATTCCGCCACAACCGCTAAACGCCGAGGTACTTGTTCGCCAGCTTCGCCTCATGCCCGGACCGAACCGGCAACTGTCAGCCGACCCCAGCATGCTGAACAGCAACAGCAACCGCCACCTCCTGTCCAGCCTGCTGGCAGCGTCGGCCGGGGCGGGCGACGACGCGCGGCCTGCCAGGCACCACCTCAACGTGTTCTCCAGTGAATTCCAGGCAAGTCACTATTTCGTTCCTTATTCGTCCGATTACGTACTCGACCGCGGGGCCTAACATCGCCCTTGCCGGCTTGCAGCTCCAGACGGCGTCCGCCCCCCAGAGCCCCCTGATGGCGCCGCTGGGCATGTCGCCGTACCCGCCGACGGCCACCCCCAACGTGACGCCGAGCGCCACGCCGACGGCCACCCCCAACGCCACCCCCAACGCCACCCCCGCCCTCACGCCCGCGCTCACGCCGGTGGCGGGGCCGTCCTCCGCGGCCGACGCCTGGATGACGCGGCCCGGCAGCAAGAAGGCCTGCGCGCTGCCCGAGGTGGTGCTGGACGTGGGTGAGTACCAGCACCTGGAGGAGCACGCCGAGGACGACGGCAACGACGGCCCGCCCGACGTGACGCGGCACACTGTGAGGGGCTACTTGCGGGGGAACGCCGTCAACGCCGTCCAGGAGGAAGACAGTGTGAGTGTGAGTGGCAGTGTGGAGACGGAGACTGAGACCGACAGCCTGGAGCGCGACGACAGGGACCTGATGGCTGCGGTGCCTCCGCCTCCGCCCCGGGCGTCGAGCACGTCAGGCACCTCGTCAGGCACCGCGAGGCGCGTCCCGTGCGGCCTCAAGGACCTGTCTTGATGGAGGCAGGGGTGACTTGGTGACGGCGCCGAGCGCATCCCAGCGGTGCTGGGCCACTGGCCCCGTGCCAGCAGCCAGCACTTGGATGACCCGTGATCGAGATCCCGAACCCGAACCCCTATGCGAATGGACGCAAACAAGCGACTCTCCCATACCAAAGTTATATTGCCAAAAATTACGTGATTTATAGTTAGGTAAGGTGCACTAAGTACAATCTTTGAATTACTGTAAGTGACCTCTCTTGGAGTAGGGATCATCATGCTTATGTTCCCGGTCTCCAATCTGTACTGGTAGTTTTAAGTTTTTCTACTGTGACTATTAGTGTGAAGATTCTGGGCCTTTCTGTTTATGGCAATGTAACACTCGTAAAGTTTATTACGTAGTGATATACCTGTGTGCTTTCTATTTATTTAAATATAGTGATGTTTTTCCTGAGTGGTGTGGAAATGTTGAAATGCCAATTTCTGTACAATACTATCTCCCTTTAAGAAATCTTATCAAATGGGTAATTGATAGCACCATCATCATTGTGTTGTGATAATTATAATAATAAGCATTTGATGTTTTGTTGCGGGTTGTGTGTACACAAACCTTTAAAATTGTAAATGGATGGGTTGGATGAGTGGTGCGGTGGGTCAATTTTGTATTGAGGAGAATGAGTTGTGAGTTTGGGGAAACAAATGCTTGGAACATGTGAACCAACCTCCACAAAAATACAAGTTTATTTGAACTATATTTCTTCTGTCAAATGAAAATCAACAACATATTCAGTAAAACATTACTGCACATTTTATAATCCTTGATTGAACTAACCAGATTTCCTAAAACTAAAATTTAGGACGAGGAAACAAGGGATTTATATATTATTATATTAAGACATCACAAATCAGATATATTATTTATCTCAACAGAAACCAAAACTATGTGAGTCTGAATGTAGTACGTACATCTACATTAAAACCTACCTACCTACCTAAAACCAAGAGACACAATTGACATCACAAACTCAAAGAGGCAGTACAAAGCATGCATAATTTTAATTCCTTTTGGAAATAAATGAGAGCACTACCTGCCAACAGTAGCTTCAGAATCATGGCAATGAACTACTGTAACATTCAATTCTTTACCTTTTAGGTATATTGTTATTTTTTGAAAAATTACTGTGAATACAGATTACTGATTTCAAAAATATTACTCAGTTGCTTACAGTATTCATGATGACATTTCTGGCCACAGCCTGATCCAGCTTAACTTAAGTTTCAGTAAATCAAACTTCCTTATGGACAAGAATATCAGTTCATGGCCAATTTAATCAATGGCAAGTTGGGGGAAGGAACAAAAAATCAAGACACAAATCAAATTTGCTTTAGGTTATAATACAATTGGCAACAGAGCAAATAAATAATTCATTGATGGGGCCAAATGACAATTGTATTTACTACTGATAACATAAATTAAATGCCTATGAGAATAAGAACTCAAGAGGTCAAGAAAATAAGGAGCTATGATCTACTGATTAAAATTGGTGCAGGAATTAGCAATTGGACTAGTAAAACAATGTAACAATTTTTAATCAATAAAGTCCACAGACGTCTAAGGTTGAGTTGGTGCATGCAGGTTTCGGTGCTTCCTCATATCACTCCTTTGTCTGAAGCACTTACCACAAATGTCACAAGCATTGGGCTTTTCACCAGTGTGAATGCGTTTATGCACAACCAATGTATGTGAACGTTTGAATGCTTTTCCACACACATCACACGGGAACCTTCGTTCGCCAGTATGAATCATGCGATGCTGGTAATATACCTGCGGAATAATAAAGCCAACATTTTAGAAGCAAATTTAAAATTTTAGTCACCTAAGAATATAAAGAAGGATAAATATCAAGTCTGACCTGGCCTGTCCTAAACTGCTGACCACACCATTCACACTTATATGGCTTTTCCCCTGTATGGGTGCGACGGTGGTTGTCCCTATCAGCTTTGATTCGGAAGCCTCTACCACACAAGTCACATGTGTGTGGTTTTTCACCAGTATGTATCAGAGCATGTGTGTACATTGAGCTTGTCTGAGAGAACCGACGACCACATACAGAACATTCATACGGTTTAATGCCAGTGTGGATCTGCATGTGCTCCAGCAGTCGTTGCCTTTCTGCAAATTTCTTGTGACAGACCTGGCACATCAGATTCTTTTCCTGACGAGCTTGATGAGACCGCAAGTGTTTTTGATAAGGCCTTTCTGACATGAACCTAGAAAATAAATCACAGAAAAGTAAACCAAGATGCTCTACGCGAAATATTAACTTCTGAAAGGAATATAAGCCTACCCTTTTCCACACTCATCACAGAAGTAAAGTTTAGGTACAAGAGAATGCTTGCGACGTCTTTTCTTTCCAGCTTCCGGCTCAGATATATCTTCCTGATTAGTGTGAGTCCTGCGGTGTTCTCTCGCTTCATACAGAGTGCCTGCAGTTGCACCACATATACTGCACACATATGGTTGCTCATCAGGGTGAACTTCACGTCTGTGTTTGCCCAAAGAATTTCCATGGGAGAAAACATCCCCACAGTACTCACAAATATGCACCTGCAAATGTATTTAATTTTGATATCAATTGGCACCTAGGTCATGGTTGAGCCAAGGTTTAAGAATTTCATCATGAACTCCCACCTTAGTTGGATCTACAGCTTGTCCTTCTTGAACAACCCAATGCCTTGTACGATGCAGGACCACCTCAGATGAGGTAGTAAAAGTTTCTTGACAAATTTTGCAATCATAATGAATGAGAGAAGGAGTACGCTTTTTCGACATTTGCTCACCATGGAACAAAGCTAGATGCTTCTTTAGCAAATGTTTCCGTCCACAGTATGTGCCACAGTGCTCACATTGATATGGCTTTACATTCATGTGAACAACCATATGGCTTGTCAAAGTGTCTTTATCCATAAACTTCTTGTCACACATCCTACAAATTGACAAATTAAAATTAAGTGCACAAACTGGAAAAGCATTACACATACAGCAACAAGGAACAGGGCACATACTTGCAAGGGAAGGGACGATCTCCTGTGTGTAAGTTCATGTGTGTTTTAAGTCTCGCTGCAGAGTGGAAACGTTTACCACATGTTTCACAAGCAAATGGCCTTTCACGTTGATGTACACTTCGAGCATGGTGATACAATGCACTTTCAGAGTCAAACATCTTGCCACAAGGAATGCAAAGATTTGGCGGAGCACCATCATGGAATTGCTGGTGAAATAATAGCCTGTCTTCAGTTGTATAGGCTTTTTTGCATTGTAGGCAGCGGAAAGCTCTTTTCTCCTAAAAAAATTAATTTAATTAATGAGATAAAAAAAAAAAGTACTTTATTTTATTAAACAGCATCTGAGAAGATTGCAAAAAATTACCTTGCTCTTAGCAACAACTGCACACTGGTGCTTTTCCATAGTACTCTCTTTGTTGAAGCGTCGTCCACAAGTTTCACACTGTAAACGGTTCAAAGCACGGCGTCTCCTATTTAGTTCTTCTTCTCTATGTTCTTTGAAATGTTCTAGAAGATCATCTACTGCCTCAAAGGCAAGATCACACAATGCACATGGATTGCTATTAACTTCCGCATGCACCTGATCAGGATTTAAAGAACACATTGGTAATTAAGTAATACAAGGCTGGCTACAAGAAATTTTCAACCATTAATCTGAATCAAACCTTTGAGTGTTCTAAAGCAGGTTCAAGAGCTGGGAAAGGTTCACCACAGTGTCTGCAAGTGGTGTCCCGCTCAATTTGGATAATTTCTTGACGCCCATCCTCCATTTGCATTTGGATCTCCATCTCCTCTGGAATGGAGGCTAAATTCTCTGAGTCACTCATGGGATAGCTGCATTCTGTCCCTAAATCCGACCTAGGAAAAAAAAAATTTGTGATGATACTATCAAACTAGAGGCAAACCTTTGAAGTATACAAGCTTCATTGCTTACTTGTCGTCATCATCATTCCACACGTCATTAGTACTGCCAACAAAAGTTGCATACACTCCTGCTGTTGAGTTCAAGTCAGAAGCAATCCCATCTGCTTCCTGACTTCCTTCGCCATCCCCTTCAGCCTCTGTTGTATCAGATGAATCATCATCATCAAAATCATCATCTGATGCCGAATCGTAAACTTCCATTTTGACTCCAGGCACCAAACCAGGAGCATTACGTAAGTGACGGGCTTTTCTACGGAATGCTCGCACTAATTCTCTCTTCTGATTCCTAAAAAATAAATTAAAAATTGACAAATGCTGTGTTAGGACAAGATAAATATGGATACGAGTTGATACAGAAGAAAAGTTAATAAATGGTACATACATCCCATCATATTGTACATCAGGTTCAGAATCCACATCTTGCGTCATGCATCCCTCAACACAAAGTGGGCAGCAGTAGTCTGATCCAATGTGTTTGAGCGCGTTTGAACTTTTGGACTTCATGTCTAAACTGCTAATTGGACCTTCACCATTGTTTTCATTGTTTGTCTCAGAGCATTTTGGTACAAGCCCAGTAGCTTCTTGCGTGTCTCGTTTTAACACTTTGAAATTTTTCTGCTTTGTAAGGAGCCTAAGTTTTTCTTCTGCCTGAACACAAACTTCAGCAAATTCATGGTACGAATCAAGCTTTGTCTTGCACTCAACACACAGCTGCTTTGGCAACGGATCAGTTCTCTTCACCTATGATTCAAACAATTGGACAAAATAAAGTCAGATATCAGAAAAATCTCTGCTCAGGCAAAGTTACATAAAATAAGATGGAAAAGAACTTACAGTGATTGGAAGACAGATATTGATTTTAGCAGCTAGTTCTAGCTCTTTGCAGTTCTCATTAAATATATAGACAGGTTCACTGACAGAATTGGCACACAAGCGACACAGGAGACCAGGGTGCACAATATCTAAGTCATCTTCTTCTTCAAATTCTTCTTCCCCATCCATTCCATCATCCTCATCATCCTCATCGTCACTGATGACATCATCCATAATGTTGCCGCTCTCTGCACTGGAGCCGTCCATGCTGACCATGGGCATATCAGATGACAGCAATGTCATGGCATTTGGGGCACTTACATCCACAGGTTCCATTTTTACCATCACAGGTGTAGACTCATTAACTAAAGACAAAGTAAAGATATGAGGTGAAAAAAAAATACTAAAACTTTTGATAAGAGGAATTAAAAGCAGCCATTGGCTTTGGCTGGGGCAAACTTACTTTGAATAGAATCTGGGTTAAGAACTTCTGATCCTATGAAGTCGTTGCCCTCCTCTGCTTGCCAACTAAACAGACTAGGAACAGCTTTCCTTTTCAAAACCTTACGAGATGTATTGGTAAACTGGTCCAGTGCAAAATGGTCAGAGCAAATGGCATAGTGGTGATTAAGAAAAGCTGGGGCTTTATCTATGAGATCTGTGCGTCTGCATGCCATAGTCCAATGTTGGCATCTGATAAAAGAAAAAAAATGTGAAACTTGGGAAAAAAATAGATTGCTAACAAAGAAGCATTAATAAGCCATGATAGTTATGAGTACATACCTGTTTGCAGTATGGATTGGGAAACGGAAAAATGATCGATCTGGAGTTGTAGATTTTGAATTATCACAACCCGGTACAGCACATTCAAGAGGCGGAATATCCCATCGTGCCTGCTCTGTTGGAGCATCACGAGGCTTTCGATCAGCAGCTGTTAATTAAAATTTAATTAATGGCACATCATTTATGTTTGAATCTTAAACACTTGAAACAGTAAGTTCAGATAAATCCGCTCACCTAAGGAGAAATATTCAACAACCAATGTATCGTCTGTCAAAGGTTTGCCTTGAATCTTCAATTGATTGAAGTCAAATGGTATGCCCATTTGGTTCTGAATGCGGCTCTTCAGATCGCCTATCGTGTCTTGGGGATGCACTTGAACAGTGATCGATTCCCCAGACACACTCTTTAAGACAACCTTCATCTTGACTTCTGAAAATATAAATAAAGAAAAACAGTGATATAATGTCCCAAAAGAGAAATAGGTTCCAAGAAATCGAAATGGGGTGTCCTATGGGAAAGATGCTTAAAAATCATGACAGCAATATAACCAAACACCCTTACGCAGCGGTTAAAGAGAGAAAACTCTCTATCGAGGCAGGTCCATCAACCATGGACACTGGGTAAACATTTCAATAAGTATTGTCACAGACATAAAATTTGAGAATTCCCTCCGCACACGAAAATTACGACCGTAGGAGATGAAAGTCGTCAAGCGGACAACAATCCCCCCAGCAATCGCAGATAGCGCCTACCTCATCCGGATTCAGACGACGTGAAAGAAAACGGCTCCAAAAGGCCTCGTTGTCTATCAATACCTTCAATAACAAAGTCAACCGAAAATAAACATTACTACTTAACGCCCGCCGACAAAATATTTCAAGTCGGTGAGCCTTCTTGAAAAACTACAAAAACCCTCGCGCGACGGCAAAGGTGGCGTCTCTCCGCCTCGTCCAAGGGGAAACGAAAACGGTTGCATGAAGATGGCGTTGGTTGCGCGTTGCGCATGCACGTTCAACTTCCTGCGGCTCTGCGGTCAGTGTCACTTGCTAGACGCACATTTAATGAGTACGTGATGTGACTGCGGCACTAACGGGATACGTCCTCTGAAAGATAAACACAAAATCTTATCTTAAAGGGTCTTATTTCTCTCAAATAATACCCGAGAACTATTTATGACCACCACTGACCAGGATTTTACGCGGGCAACGGGGCCGTTCTTCTACCCCGCTGTAGAACTTCTGATGCGCCGTCAGTTCTCACGTGAATGTTGCCGATTTTCGAGTGAATGCTTTATTGAATTTATGTGTCGATGCTAGGTATTTGAAGGATTGATGTCAATTGTGGCCTGACTTAAACATGCTGCGATCTCAGAAAGACGTGGACAAACATGTTCAAGATATTTTTCGCAAGATAACCAATGAAAAGGAGGTAAGGGCTTCGTGCTGACTGCCTATTTTGCAGGTTGGGGGTCTGAATGCCGGGCGCCCATTCCTGCGACTTTGGTTTGATTACCAACAAATCCGACTTCGAACTTTGTACTACTTCAAGCTCATACTATTGCTCGTATTCATGTTAGGTTGTTTGAAGTGATCATGCCATTTCAAGGCTTTCCAATTTTGGTCTTTTTATGTCCCTCAAAGCTCTTATGGCCCGTCCTTGAGCATTCATCTGCATGTTGCCACTGCATGTTTCATGCTACTGGCCGAATCTGCTAGTTAAGCTGGAGATACCCTTTAATGTTCGTGATGACATCAATTTTCAGCTTTGATAACCAACTTGACATTTTTGAGTCGCCTCAATTTAAACGATATCATGCTATATTCCCCTCCGTTCACACCGTATTTTTTAAATTTTAATAATAATCCCCTTTGCTTGATCTGTTGCAGAGAAACTTACGTTGCTACAATGTAGCCAAATTGTATCAGAAGGTTGGAGACCATCAATCAACCAAACAATATGTGGAACTGTACCTAAGGGACCGTCCAAAAGTAGCCGGTGCCCACAAACTTCTTGGCCAAGCTCTAGAGGGTCTCAAAGACTACTCCAAAGCTTTAGAAGAGTATAAGTGCTCCTTGACCTTAGAGCACAGGCAACCAGATCTTGTTTTGAAAGGTAAGTGCTTTAATCGGTTTGGTTTCATCTGTAGAAATTAATATTTAGCTTGAAACTTTGATTATGTTGAGCTTTTGTTTCTCTCATTGCAGTGTGTGAGCTTCTTGTGGAAACCAAGACCAAAATCAATGCAGGCGAAGCGAAGTATTGGATTGAGAAGGCTGAAGAAGTTACAGATAATCATCATGCTGTCTTTCGCCTCAAAGAATACTTGTTGACGATGGATAATGGTTCTGGAGACAATGCACAGTTGGCTCAGCTCATAGAAAGTAAAGATTATTTGAAGTATTGTTAGCATCCTCCTGTTTTCTGTTAATATGTTACATAAATTTCAAATTTTGTCAATTTTAGGAGAAATTGAAGCAAGGCCACTAGATCATGTTCCTAGAATAAGGTTGCTTAACTTGTACCTGGACTCAAAGAAAGTGATTGATGCCTACAAATATGCAATTGAGATCGAAAGCCGCAATCTTTTCCGGGATAATCTGCAGTGGTACACATGCATTGTTGAAGTTATCAAGGTTTGTTGTAGAAACATTGCCTCAATTTCTTAGGCATTGTAATTTTCAATGTGCTTGTTTTCATGTATTTTTTTTTTCTGTACTTGTCTGTCTAGGCTTATCAGAGGGAGTCCACAAACTTAAATGGTGAATTTTATGTACACCTGCTCTCCATTCTTGAGCGCTATGTGACTTTGTGCTTCCGAGAGCAAGTTGGAGGTCACTCCTCAAATGTTAGCAATGCTCTGTTTGCTTTGGATCAAGCCTGCTACGAAGCCTTCAAGTTCTCTGAAAAAGATGGGAACCAGCTCCTTCTAGAGTGTTTGCGTCATATGGGTGGCCAGCTCTGTTTCCACTTAGGGGCTGCCTGGCTGCGAATCGGCAAGCAAAGTCGCAGTACTGGCTGGAAAGAGTGCACACCCTATGCCTGGGCATTACTAGCCCTCGCCTATTCCCCACCAGCAACTACCGATGTATCATCTCTTAATGCAAAAGACAAGACCCGTAGACACCTGAAACTTTGGAAGGAGGATGCTGCTTTCCGGTGTACTCAAGCAGGTAGAGTAATTCCTCTGTAACTGAATTAATCTACATACATCATCTTGTTCTTTTTCCATTTAAATTGTAAATTGCTTTCTTCTAGGTCATATCTTGCTGAGTATGCCTCGAGACCAACAGCTGGAGAGGTTTTCTCAATGTAGTAGTGGTAACTGGCGAGGAAAAGTTTTTTCTATGCTGTTCCCAGTTCAATCTAAGAACAAGACTGATGCTGAAAAATCTTCTTTCTTTACTACCAATGATCGTTTTGCTGACATACCAGAAGTCTCACCATCTCTCAGGGACATTGCCCTCCATGATGAAAGTATGTACTGAGTCTTACCAATGATGCTTTTGAGTTTTTTTTGTCAAGTCTTTAACCACGTCTGATTGAATTCTGGTTTAGTTGGTCAACATCATCGTCCAGATTCCCTTCATGCCCTTGTATGGCTGGGACTAAGGCACTTAGAGCCTCCATCCAAGAATGTTTCTCCATTGGGCATGCCTTACATACTTCCTTATAAGCTGTCACCCAGCTTTGCTTGTCATGTATTTGAAGAAATGAAATTATCCACAATCAATTTGGAAACTGGTGGTGTGGAAACTTTAAGCAGGCTTGACATTGACACCTTTTTATATGCTGCAGGTCAGTTTTATATGTTCATGATTCAATTACATTTCATTCTTGTTTATTGGTTCAATTCCTCTTTGGTTTAATTATTCTTTTTATGTGAATTTTTCAAATAATAATTCTTTTGTCCCTTTAGTATTTTGTGCTGCTGCAGCCCAAGATGAGCGCAATTTTTTGGGAGATGGCAGACTATCAGTTCTTCCTGTGGACTTGACTGACACATTATGCACAGACGCCCAATCTAAGTGGTGGCAGAATACCTACAAACTCCACTCTAACAAGTCACGAAATGATATTGGGGAAGTTCGAATGGTTGTTTCCAGAGGTCTAGAAGTGGTTCGTCTCCTTGGAAATCATGGAATGGATGTCAGATTGGTGGTTCTTCTTGCTAAAGTATTCACTGAGAAGGTACACACTGCAGCTTCATTAATTCTGGTTATTTATTGGTATTTACAATTTTAAGTTTCAGTTTATTAGTTCTGTTCATTTAAATTTTATAGGCTTCTGCTTTGATAACACCTAAAGATAATATACCAGACATATCGAAAAGGGCTTTACTGTTTTGGCAATGTGCCATCACACTTTTAGAACGCATGGAAAGAAATCATCCCCTTCGTGTTTCTGGTAATCCCATGTTTGTCTACGGAGGAAAGGATCTTACACCTTCAGAAATTAAAATGCTGCTTGAAGAGGGTCGTTTCTTCATGGCCTGCCGCTTGATGAAAGAAGATAAATACGAAGAAGCGATTGAAGCTTTCCAGGACCTGAAAAATCCCTATGCCTCCTTTTATGAAGGTTTGGTATGTGCTCGTTCTTCTAAACTTTATTTATTTTTGGCTGTATTAAGCCTCTTTTTAATGTTGTAAATGTTATTTCCAGATGTATAAGAAACTGGCTGATGCTGAACTGATGTCTCTTCCAAATGAAAATGTCAGTTCGGAAATGAAATCAAAATATATCATCTTGCTCCAAAAAAGCCTTTCAGCTCTTCATCTTACCTTAGACCGCTTGCGCTCTCCTCAAAATGCAGGCAACCATCCTCTTAGTCTTGAGCTTGAGCAGCACCTTCAAGAAGTTGAAAACTGCCTGATGAGAGAAGACAGCAATTTTGTATTCTCCAGTAAGTTTGTTTTTCACACTTTGACTCTGTAATTTATGTGGGCGTTTAACAAAATTTGTTTTTCTTTTGTTTGTAGTTGTTAATAGGAATCCTCAGGATAACGTTTTGGATGATAGCTTCACATCCAATCGCTTTGATGATTCCATCCAAAATGCTTCTCGTTTTGTAAACACCTCAATGCATTGTTCATTGCTACCCAATGTGAGCCGGGTGAATGGGCAAGGGTTAACAAGTACCCCATTCAAAGGCAAGCGTAACATTGACTCGACTGGAAATCTTGATGCTTCTCATTCTCAAAGACTGGTGTGTATATTTAATTTATTACAAAATGTCTCAGCCATTCTGTTTTTACTTGCCACAGCCTTTTATTTTACTCCTTTAATTTTCTCTTTAGGAGGCTCGCCCCAGTCCTGAAAGATTAGATGCTCAGATGAGACGCATGACCATCACTACAGATGCAGTCATGCAGGTTGTTGTAGAACAAAATAGACAGATGCTGGATCTAAACAAGACAATGATGGATGCTCTTGAGAAAACACGAGCATCTGTTGAAGATTTGCAGAAACAGATGTCAGACTTGAAGCTGGAAGTTGGGAAACTTAAAGGTGGTGACAACCGTGGTCTATCAGGGAAGACTGTGGACTATTCCAACATGGCAGCACGTGGAGCTGATGTCTACGACTACGATGTGGCAGCGTCCCAGTTTCATCCTACTCGAGGTTATCCATCAACTGCATCCTATGGGCACTTCCCTGGTCAAGGCTACAGCTATGACAACTGTGCTGCAGCAAACAACATCCACCCAATACCCAGCATGCTGCATCAGACTTTGCTCCCTCAGGCTCAGATGCCATTGTCTCGGAACATGGACCCTAATCTTTTGCTTGCCTCTTACTACCCTCAAGCTATGGGACATAATTTCAGTGATCGGCAAACTGGGATTCCTATTTCTAACACCCTGCCTGGACAGATTGCAACACCTGGTCAGAGCAATGTGCAAGTAGCAGGTGTTCCGGCAGCTGCAGATGCTGCGTCTGTGGATTCATTCAGGAAGACATCTTTAATGGGAACACCGATCATAAGTCACACAACAAACCATCCGATTGACTTGTGTGCTTCAAGTTCCATTTCTTCTGTCTCCCAGCCTTTGCTGCCAACAGTTGATATATCAGCTCAGCGTTTCAACTTGGGCTCTCAATCTGGACTATCCCATGGAAGCAAAACTTCAACTTCATCTGCAGATACTGTGCCTCACAACTTCCAAATATCCATGCCACCACAGGCCACAATTCCAACCACAGAATCTCTGGAAAAGTCCCTGTCTCCCCTGAAGCCCATCTCAACTGACTCTATTCTTCCTAATGTACCCATGCCGACATATTCTGCAGTGTCTGCCAAGGGATCTGACCAAAAAGTCAGTCGTCACTCAACTGGATCAGCTAGTGGGAATGACACATTTACTGAGGATGCAGACTACAACCCCTGCGCTGACTTCAAGCCCATAATACCTCTGCCTGAAGAAATAACGGTCACTACTGGAGAAGAGGATGAAACAGTGCTCTTTGTGCGACGAGCTAAGCTGTTTAGGTTTGTTGCTGGAGAATGGAAAGAAAGAGGAGTTGGGGATATTAAAATTCTGAAACATAATATTACTGGTAAACCCCGAATTCTTATGCGACGTGAACAAGTGCACAAAATCTGTGCGAATCATTTCATCCTGCCAGAGATGGAGCTAAGTGCCCAAAAGGGAAGTGATCGTGCTTGGAACTGGGGAGCTAATGATTTCTCAGATGGAGAAGCTTGTATTGAAAAGCTGTGTGTTCGGTTCAAGACTGTAGAAGATGCTGAGCAATTCAAGACTGCTTTTGACGATGCTAGAAAATTGGCCAAGAATGCAACTCCAGTTAAAGGTGCATCAACAGCCGTGTCAAAACCTGAGGGCAAGACCATGACACCAGGGAGTCAAGCTTCCACTGCTCCTGCAGGAAAGGTTGAATTGGGAGGATTCTCTTTTATCTCTCCGCCTGTCTTGAAGCCCGTAGAGCGGCAAGTGAAGACCTCTCCAGGCAAAGACAAAGAAAATGTTGCTGCCGTGTCAAAGCCTAGTCCATTTGCTGGCTTTTCATTCACTCCTTCAACGACAAATGCTTTTGGAAGTGCAACAAGTTTGGCCGGTTCCAGCTTTGTAAGCACGTCAACAGCTGCATTTGGCTCAGTTTCTTCAAGTTCTTCAACTTTATTTGGTCAAAAAGTGTCACCCTCTGTAGCCTCTTCTACAACAGCCTTAACTGATAAGCTCATGTTCAACAACAGTAACAGCTTGCTCGATTTTGCTGCCATTGCTGCACAAAGTAAGGGCTCAGAGGTGGGTAAGAAGGATTCCAATTTCAAGGGATTTGCAGGGGCAGGTTCCAAAGTGTTTGGAAGTACAGTTTCCAAAGTCTCTGATGGAAACGTTTCTTCATCAAATGATAGCAAGAGTATTGATCAAGATGCAACAGCTGATGGTGATGAATTTGAGCCTACTGCTGTTTTCAATCCTGTTATCCCACTTCCTAGTTTGGTTGAAGTCCGCACTGGTGAGGAAGATGAAGAAGTATTATTTGCTGAACGTGCCAAATTACTTCGGTTTGATGCATCTATGAAAGAATGGAAAGAAAGAGGTGTGGGAAAAATGAAGGTCCTTAAAAACCCCAATACTGGCAAGGTGCGACTTTTAATGCGAAGAGAGCAAGTATTGAAAGTGTGCTGCAATCACTTTATCACAAAAGATCTTCAATTTAAATTAATGACAACGAGTGACAAAGCTATCACCTGGTCCGCACAAGACTTTGCAGAAGGAGAAGTATCTGTGGAAGTGTTTGCATTGCGATTCAAGAGTCCAGAGCTGATGCATGCCTTCAAGGATGTTGTTGAAGGTGTTCAGAGCAACATAAGTGACTCTGCCACAAACAGTCCAGCTTCTGCACCAAAACCATCAACCATTAAGGATGCCCAGCCACTGGCGGAACTTTTTAAGCCGCAAGCAGGTTCCTGGGAATGTACGGGCTGCTACACTAGAAATGGTGCTGAAATTACAAGCTGTCCATGTTGTTCTCAGCCCAAACCAGGATGTGAAGCAAAAGTTGCTGAAAGCAAATCCGCCACGAACTCTGCATTTTCATTCGGAATCAAAACCAATTCAACTGATGATGCTAAGTCCACTTCAGGTTTTACATTTGGTAACACAGCAACAGCACCTCAAAGCAAACCTCTGTCTGAATTGTTCAAACCTAAAGAAGGCTCTTGGACTTGTGCGGGCTGCTACACTATTAATACTGCAGAGCAATTAACTTGCCCCTGCTGCTCTCAGCCTCAGCCAGGTTCAGAGGCCAAGGTTGCTGAAAGCAAATCCTCTCAAAGCTCCTCTTTTTCGTTTGGAGTAAAGACCACTTCATCAGATCAGCCCAAAGCTCCAAGTGGCTTCGCGTTTGGCAACATCTCAACTGATTCAAAAGACAAGACTCCTCTTTCTGAACTGTTCAAACCTAAAGAGGGCTCATGGTCATGTGATGCATGCTATACCAGATGTGATGCAGATGCAACTGCTTGTATCGCATGTGAGGCACCCAAACCTGGCCATGAAAACGACAAAAAAAGTGCAGGCAGTACCTTCAGCTTTGGCATGCCTAGTGCTCCTGTTGCATCATTTTCATTTGGTGTGGCCCCTTCAGGAGAAGTTAAATCTTCATTTCCATTTGGCCTTCCCACTTCTACAGCTTCCGATGCTGATAAAGGATTCAGCTTTGGTGCTGGTACTCAACCGACTTCCTCGAGTTCCTCTGGGTTTACTTTTGGAGCTTCAACTCTTACTCCAAATCAGCCCTCATTTGCTTCTCTTGCTTCAAGCCAGCCATCATTTGGTTCCCCTCACAAGTTTGAATTCCACATGAAGGCTCAGTCACCATCAAAATCTCCTGGGAAATCGCCTGGTGCCCCTTCTGGTGAGGAAGATTCGGATGATGACCATGTAGAAGAAAATCCTGATGTTGGTGATTTCAAGGTACTTCTTTGAATCTGTGCTTTGGCAACTGTATGTTGACTCTTTACCTGTGTGTGTCTAATCTATCTTCTGTCCCACAGCCTGTAGTCCCACTGCCAGACAAAGTACCTGTAGTGACTGGAGAGGAAGAAGAAACTGCCCTTTACTGTCATCGGGCTAAATTGTACAGATTTGTGACTGGTGAAGGAGCACCAGAGTGGAAGGAACGTGGTTTGGGTGACATCAAAGTACTGCGCCATAATGTTACCAACAAACCAAGGTATAAAAAAATGCAGTTGAATGGAAGTAACTGTTGCACAATACACTGCCCAGTGAAATCAACTTAGAAATGGTATCTGTTATCAGGTTGTTGATGCGTCGTGAGCAAGTTTTAAAAATTTGCCTCAACCACTACATATTACCTGATTTGGAACTGACCCAAAAAGATGAAAAAACATGGATGTGGCATGCACAGGACTTCAGTGAGGGTGTGCTTGCCCCAGAGCAATTTGCTTGTCGATTCAAGACAGCTGAAATTGCTGCTGATTTCGCTGCAGCTGTTGAAGAAGCAAAGGTAGTCTTTGCAGTTTGAGTTCTATCTTATCTTATGTATTCCTTTTTTTTTTTTTTTTTTTAAACTTCATTGATTTTAATTTATTTATTTTTGTTCCAGAAATTAACTGTGTTGCCTTCTCCGGGAGCTGGTACTACTCCAATCAGGGCTAAGGATGGTACATATCTTTACAATAATTTTTTTGCATGTGCATCTTCTGTGCTGTCTCCTACCTTGAATACAGAATCTGCTTCTTTGTCTAAACCAGCTGTTGAGAACAACCTGCAGTGGAGAGGAAAGCTTCTATACTGTAATTTATCATGTCTGCTTACTCAGCAGAAGATAGCTCTGTCAGGATCCCACTCTTCTAAAACTTCCCTCTTTTTTGTGTATCCCTTTTGTAACTGTATTGTTTTTCATTGTTTATATGTCGAACTTCAATCACCTTTGGTTTCTCATGCAGCACGTTGCATTTTTCGACCTTTTGTTCTTTGGCATTCATTGTCAAAGTTTCGATCCGCTTTAACTAATGCATCTCCAAGATTTCAACAAATATTACTTTGTTGGATATGCCTTACTCAATCAAACAAGCTTTTTCTGACAATCTAACACTAAGGATCTCTTGAATCCTTTATTTTTCCCAGTTCTTGACGATTACATTTTGGATGTTTTTAACAAATATATTAATTTTATTGCATTGGTCTGAATATAAGCGCCTCTTTTTCCATAAGTCATAAGTTGTGTTCTGAAACTGGATGGGTGCGAGGCTTTTATTTGAGGTTGTTTTACTGGGTTTTTGTTTTTACATGACGGGGCTTATACACAGACCATCTCATGTTTATATCATTCCTCATTGTGATACTAATTTTTAATGAGAAATTTAATAATAAAAATATGTTTTTTTATTTATGGTTACTTACATCCATTGCTTTGTTTTTCCAAAAGTCTTATCCTAACTTTGCATGTGTTGGGCTCTTTGCATGCAGTCATGAACTGTTTCACAGTTCAGTGGTTCCTAAGACATTATCTGGGCTGTACTAGAGAAGCTCTTGTTAATTTTAGAAACAATCTAAGTATTGCTGACACTTGCAATTACATTTTCAGAGTCATCTACAAAGGGCTTTGTATCTACCAAAAATATTCCGAACACTGCTGGAAGTGACAAACCTGGTTAGTTTCACATTCAAATTTGGTCTCCATTTAGCTGGCTTCAATTATTCATACTGTCTTTTTACTCATAAACTATTTTTATTTTTTAGGTGTTGTGCGGTCCCTCTTTGGATCAAATGATCAATCATCCTCTGCCAGTGGTGAGTGTAGACCTAATGTTCATTTTATCTTTTAATTACTAGATTCAATGTCACTGTTTCTCTTGAGGGGGAGAAAACATTTTAACAAAACTACTTAATCAATTCCCAGATGAGGTGGAGGTTGTTTATGAAGCAAAGGTAACCCCTGAAGAGAAGTCTGCTGCTCTAAAACTTATGCTGCCAGAAAATTTTTACCGTTACAAGCAGGCTCCTCCATGTGAAGGTTGCCCTGGTTGTGAAAAGGACTCAGATTCAGATCAGGTTTGATAATAAAAACTTATTGTGCTTTTCAACACAATTTAATTGTTCAATACTAATGGTTTTTAATTTTCTTATTATTTTTAGGGTGATAACCAGTCTTCTGTGGATTCTTCAAAAGCTCCAGCCAAAAGTTCATCAACCACTTTCTCATTTGGTTCATCATCACCAGCTTTTGGTAGTGGAGGGAACTTGTTCAGTGCAGCATCATTTTCTTCTCCATCTTCAACCGTATTTGGTGGAAGTGCCAAATCAGCATCAACTACCTCAATATTTGGTGGTGCCAGTATCTTGGGAACAAATCCTTCCTCATTATTTGGTGGCACTAGCAGTTCAAACTCTACAGCAACAATATTTGGGGGCACTAACAGTTCCATTCAAGCCCCTGTTTCATCTTCAATATTTGGTGGCATCAGTTCCAAAACAACTTCTGCTGCTCCTACTGTGGGAAGTTTATTTGGTGCAGGAACTGCCAGTGCTGGCTTAGGCAGCACAGCAGTCAATTCTCCAAGCACTGCATTCCCCATTCTTGGCTCACTGACAGCTGCTTCTAAGGAAGAGAAGTCAGAAAAAAGTGAAGGTGTATCTTTCCTCCCTGTTGGCAACAGCCCCTCATTTGCAAGTCTAGCTGCTGCCAACTCCAGTGGGAATGCCAGTGGAAATATCTTTAAACTAGGCAACACAAGTAATCAGTCATTTACCTTTGATGGGGCTGGGGCCAAAGTATTTGGCGGAGTTAGCTCAGTAACACAATCAAAAAAGAATAATGAAGAAGAAGGAGACTCAGGTGGAGAACATGATACCACTGAAGTAGAAACGCACGACCCCCATTTTGAGCCAATAATCGCTATGCCTGATATAATTGAGGTTCGTACTGGAGAAGAGGATGAAGAGAAGGTATTCTGTCGGAGGGCTAAGTTGTTTAGGTTTGATGGGAAAGAGTGGAAAGAAAGAGGTGTTGGAGAAATGAAAATTCTTAAGCACCCTGTGAATGGCTCGTTCAGATTATTGTTGAGAAGAGAGCAAGTTTACAAGGTGGTGTTGAATCAACGGCTTCATGTTGATATGGAACTGGTTCGTTTGAACACCTCTGACAAGGCCTGGTGTTGGGGTGGAATCAACCATGCAGAAGATCCTGAAGGAGTTGTGGAAAAGTTGGCTGTCAGATTCAAAAACTCTGAGGAAGCAGATGAATTCCGCTTGAGATTAGAGGAATGTCAGAAGATGATTGCGAAAGGTAAGGCATACTGTTGAAACCAAATCCGCATTAGAACTTTCTTTATTTGATTAATCTTCTAATCTTTCTGTTTCATTTGAATTTCCAGGTCAAGTGGTCAAAGATGGTGATGATGATGATGAAGATGAGGAAGATGAAGATGATGACGATTATGAGGATGATGAAAATGCCTATGAGGATGAAGAGGGTGAATTTGAAATCCTTTTTGAGAAGCCAGCTGCTCTAGTAGCTGAAATTGAAGGCGTAGAAAATTCAGCTGTGGAAGGAAAGGGTGCTATCAGAATTGTACTCCAACCAAACCATTCATATGTTGTTGAAATGGAAGATGTTTCTGGCCAAGTCCTCTGCAGAGCACCCATCACAGGAGATGTTGAAGTTTCTGTGAGTTTGTGGAAAATTTGAAGATTCCCTCAATTTTTTTCAGCTTTTGTATTTATTTGTTGTTAAAATTTGTAAAATTGTGTTCTTTCTAGAGAGAAAAAAATATTTGCACATGGAAAAGTTTTGACCATGCTGAAGACTATGAACAAGGTATTGATAAGAAGTTTGTTACTACTTTTGAAACTGAGTCGGATGCTGAGTCTTTCCAAGATTATTACTCCAAATATACTTTAGAGGTAAGTTGGTCATGTCTATGGGTAGCCTGACTCTTAACAATTTATCTTTCCAAATCTTATTTGTCATTCTCTTTTCAGATTGTTGAACGATCATATGATTATGTTGATGAACAAGAAGACTGAGAAGTGCATAAGTGCATGTGCATTTTGGATTTATATGGAAAGGAAACTTCATGTCTGTGATTGTCTACTTAGTTTGAAAAAAAGAATTAAGTCAAATGCACTTTCAATCATTTTAAATGTAATTGATGTAGTTTATGAAATTCTGTTGCAGCTTGTATTTCTGCATCATTAGTTTTGTCAGATTAACTGTAGTGTATTTTATTTTGTTGAATTTTAAGAATTGATTAGGCTACAGTAAATTTTCAGTCAGTCCTTGTTAAATTATGAAGCAGGCAGTGCGGCCTTCATTGTAATTAATTTTAAAGGTACTCTATAATTTAGATTGTGTGTATCAATAAAAAAAGCACAGTACTTGTCACAAATTTAAGTATTGATTCTCTGATAATTCCTCCCCAATCTAAAAGAATACAAAAAATAAGACAGTATGAACAAGAAGTATAAAATACTGAGAACTAAGGTAGTCAAGTTGTCAAGGATTTAATTTTGATCTTCAGTCGGAGCCTTAGTTGTTAGTTTTTCTCTAGTAATTTGTGTTGGACTAGATGTTTTATCCACTAAATCTACAACACGACCACTTGATTCCTGCAAAGCTCTTCGAGACAATCGCACTTGTCCACTGACAGGGTCACGTCCAAAATATTTCACTGATATCTTATCGCCAACTGAAAGACCTAGTGCGCTGGAATGTGCTGCCTGGAAAGCAACAATAAACATGAGTAAACATCCAAACTTAATAGAAAGAGACTTGATGCAAAATGCCTAGTTACCTTTCGAACATCCAGATGGGAGTTGTTAATGTAAATTGGATTTAGATCTGGATGAAGTGAGACTATAGCACCAGACTCTTTTAATTCCAGAATTTTTACTACATAAATAGCACCAAATTCAAATTCAGGTTCTGAACTGCTGTCCATCAGCTTTTGAACAATTTCATAAGCTTCTTGCATTGCAGAGGCATTTGGAGCAAAGGCAGAAAACTTGGTATCTTCCAAATGAGTAATCTAAAGTGAGAAAAAAAATTAAGATGAGGCTGTTTTATCTTGCCTTTGAATCTAACATGTGCTTGGTGGACCTACCTGAACCCCTGTTTCAAGGAAAAGTTTCTTAACATTGATCCATGCTGGTCCAAGTAATTTGTTGCGTTTGTGAAGAGGAACCTCAAAAGTTTCCAAGATAGGCATGTTATCTTCATCTTTTACACTATTGTAGAAAGGGCAATGACGATGGTGGTTAGTCTGTTCATGAATTTATTTACATAAAGTCAAAATTAAAGTACCTTGGTTTTGAAATGGTTTGACTCATTATATTGATGATATTTCTCTTAGCTGTATGTCCTGCAGTGATAGCTTGGTTTAAAATATCCAGAGGTAAACCTGAAATTTTAAAATCTGCTTGCAAAGCTGTTATGCCAGATTTGGTTCCTGCTATTTTAAAATCCATGTCACCAAAATAATCTTCCATTCCCTACAAATATACACAAAGGGGATGAGTAAGCATGCTAAGTATCTGTCTTGCAGCATGCAGTTCTGGGTAACGTAAAATACATACTAAAATGTCCGTTAGAAGTCTGTAATCCGTTATTTTGCCATCAGAATCGCAGCGTGTTATGAGTCCTACTGCAACACCTGCTGCCATGGCTGAAATAGGTACTCCTGCATCTAACAGTGCTAAAGTTCCACCACATACTGACGCCATAGAAGATGAACCTTGAAAGAAAGATAAAATAATTTTTGATCATAACTATTGTTTTTAAAAGTCTTCCATTACAACATGAAATCATTTTCCAATACCATTTGATTCAAGAACTTCTGAAGTAAGTCTTATGCAAAAAGGATAATTCGGAGGAACAACAGGTCTCAATCCTTTTTCGGCAAGAGCACCATGTCCTATTTCTCGCCGACTGACCCCTTTCTTTAATGATACTTCATTCGTTGCATAGCCAGGAAATTCATAATTGAGGAAAAAGCTTTTTTCCTTGGGCCCACTGTGCAAATAAAAAGTTAGAGTAAATAAATACAAATAGATTATTCAGGAAGACAATACAATTGATATGCATATTGGAAGTTACCTGGTAAGTATGGTGTAAGAATCAGTTTTAACCGCAGATTGAGGAGAATCTAAAGCCACAGTGCATAAAACCTGAGTTTGCCCTCGCTGAAATAATGCAGAGCCATGAAGGGGTTTATATAAGTTCACCTCACATGAAATGTCCCTGACATCATTCAATCCTCTCCCATCACACCTGTTGTAAATTATCATTTCAAAAAAACATCATGCATATGAGCACAAGAAACATTCTTTCATACCACATTGACACTTACCTAATACCTGTCTTAAAAATTAAATTGCGGAAAACATCTTGAAGAAAAACAGAAAATGCTTTCCTAATGTTGATATCATCATGTATTACTCCCTTGGATTTCATTTCATTAATTATTTTCTGCCTGAGTGAAGATACAGCTTGATCTCTTGATTGTTTATTTAAGGAGAAATCTGTCAGTATTTGTTTTAAATCTTCTAAATGGTGAGACACTAAATACTCTACTAATTCTTGATGCATTGAATCTTCAGGAATTTCTTGCTTAGCTTTACCACAATTTACAACCAATTCTTGAATAACACTTATAATTTTCTGAATTTCTTTCAAACCAGCTTTAATACTATGCATGACAATATTGGCGTTGAGGTCATTAAAACTTCCTTCAAGCATCACGACTTTGGATTTCATACCAGTGACAACTAAATTCATGGAACTGTTTTGCAACTCTTGTCTTGTTGGGTTTATAACCAGATCATCACCTAACATGCCAATGCGCACAGCAGCAACTGGGCCATCCCAAGGAATGTCTGATAGCGCAAGAGCCATTGATGCAGCATTAATACACAAAATTTCAGGGTCATTGGTACCATCTGCCGAAAGCATATTTGAAATTATTTGAACTTCAGAGAAATAATTCTTAGGAAAAAGGGGACGAATTGAGCGGTCAGTCAATCTTGCAGTTAATATTTCGCGCTCAGAATGGCCCAACTCTCTGCGGAGGTAATTGGTTGGGATTCTCCCCGCCGCTGCAGCCTTCATCCTGAACTCCACATTGAGAGGCATAAACGAATCATGTGATGAAGGGGAGTCCTTCCTGACAGCTGTGACCATGACTGCTGTCTCTCCTGACTGCGCAACAGCAGCTCCATTGGCCATTTTAGCGTACTTTCCACAGGAAAATTTTATACTTTTCCTGAAAATGGAAATAAAATTAAAGCCATGGTTCGCAAAGGAGAAGTAGAAGAAGATATTTATTAAAGACGAACCCGGAGGATAAGGTTGCTGTCGCTTGCACTTCATTAAATGGACTGCATTGAATTGCACTGATAGTCAAAGCACGAGATGTTAGGTTAGTCAGCGGCTCCAGCTTTGAGCGTCGAAAAGTCCCTCTTAGAATGCCTGCCATGGCTCTGGAAGTAGTTTGATATGACAATTAGTAGAAAAAAGATTTACTATTCCTCCATTCAAAAAGCACTGACAGCCATTCTGACATAAGCAGTCAGTAAACCTATGTATATCATGCGAGACATGCGAGGAGTCGGCTGCTACTTTTTTTGGAGTGTCTGCCCGTACATTTCTCATACACAGAGGTGCGGAAACTATGAAAAATTTCCAGATCGTTACATACCTTGGCCTGGCCCAAGCGCTCAAGCGCTTGAAGCGCAACGCAAGCTGTTTCCTCCTGACTGTGTTCGTGGTTGAGCAACGAAATGTAATCTGTTTTGAGGCACAATTCGTGCGGGAGTACGTGATAGGCACGTCTTAAAAAACCTTCAGGCTTATTTCCTCAAGTGTGGATGGTTGAAAAGTTAAGAAGATCATGGTTATGGTGAAACTTTCTCAAGCAATCCGTCTCGATAGGTTATCGAAGTACAGCGAGGAGGTGTCCCTATCCCCCGTCGTCGGTTTTATCCTTGGTGACTGTGTGGCGGTGACCGCCGATTATCCGTGTTGACGTCAGAGATGAGAGCATTGCGACTGTTGCGGCAATATATTTAAGGAATTCTTCTCGTCCAGTTGGCACCGCGTAGCCGTCCAGTCGTGTCGTGCCCCAATGAATGGGAAGGATAAGGATGGCGTCTGATTCAAGCAATGGTGTGAGCCACAACGGCAGTTCCACAGCGTTTACTGATTTGGTCAACAACTCTACACTGACTGCCACAGCTAGTGAATTTGTGCCCAATGCAGCCAACAGGGACAAATCTTTCAACAAAAAGTCAAGACCTCCCAAAAATGTTACTTCTGGATTCAAGAGAGAAACAAGAGAGCCTCTTAATGCTGGCAATGGAAGTGGAGAAAATGTGTCCAGAGAGGCAAATGTGAGCAGACAGAGGTTCCGCAACCGTTCAGGAAAAAACTTGTCCAATTCAGATGATGTCAGTGGCAATGCGGGCCGATCTTCCGGCAGGTCAGACAGTCCCAATGGAGGACAGGGATCAAGGGCGTCAGCACGATTCTCTGGGAAGTATTATAACGGCCAGCGAGGATATGGCAGAAATGGTAAAGCAGGACCTAATGCAAGTTCCAGCAGCTATTTCCAAGGGCCAAGGGAGGAAGAAGGTGCTGTTGGTGGAGAAAATTTAAACACTCAGCACAGCAATGACCAAGTCCCTGGCTCCAGCCGTACAGGAGATCGTAATGGTAACAAGGATCAAAATATAGATCAGTATTCTGATAAGCCATTCTACAATGACAAGCCCAAAAGTAGGGAGGAACGGGATTCAAGTGGAAACAAATTTCAGAGGAAGGAACAGAATGTAGACCAATATTCTGATAAGTCATTCTACAATGACAGGTCTAAATATAGGGAAGAAAGGGATTCTAGTGGAAACAAATTTCAGAAGAAAGAACAGAATGTAGACCAATATTCTGAGAAGTCATTCTACAATGACAGGTCTAAATATAGGGAAGAAAGGGATTCTTGTGGAAACAAATTTCAGAAGAAAGATTTCAGCAAAAGTTTTAACAAAGAATTTGATGAAGGAAGAGGCAGATCGAAGTATTGGGATCGCAGCAGTAATGCTGATAGAGAAACTGCTACATATTATCAAGATAATGCCTCTTCATATAGGTATCCTGATCGCAATGAGAGTTACTACCCTGAAAAGAAACAAGACTATTACCAAGAAAGGTATGATCGATCTAATAGACGATTTGGAGATCGTTTCCCTGATAGGCAAAGAAATGATCAGAATCATGATAAATATTTTTCTAATTATGATCAAGACAGTAGAGGCTATGATCGTACTTATAGGTCTCGAGGGACTAGATTTCAATATGAATCTTCAAAAGAAGATCAGAGCAGACAGCGCAACAATTCTTACTATAAGGGAAGAAATCCCACCCAAAATTATAACACTCAAGAAACGTTTGGTTCAGACAATGTGAAATTCCAATCTGGTGACAGATATGAGAATCGGGATAGTGCTGGCCCAAGTGCCAGAGACAACAATTATAGTTCTCACTCTCGCTTCAGCAGCCAAAAGGGCTTTAACATGCGAGGTAAGTTCTAAAGTCTGAAGTGGTGCGTCAAGCTTGTAGTGTCTTCGCTTAGGGGTCAGTAGTTCATTAAGAAGGTTTCTTTTCTTTTTCAGACGGAGATGATGTGTCTCAAAGAGATCGTTTGACAGAACAGCTGACTCGTGGTACCCTAGAGTGTCTTGTCTGTTGTGATAGAGTCCGACAGCAGGACTCTGTTTGGAGCTGCTCTAATTGCTTTCATGTTCTGCATTTGAAATGTGTTATGAAATGGGCCAAGTCTTCCAAAGCAGGTAAGTGTATCAAACCTGTAAGTGTATCAACTGACCCAGAACCATAGTTAAAACAAATTGTGATGTCATTTTTTACCTTTTCATTTATTTACCAGAAACTGGCTGGCGCTGTCCGGCATGCCAAAATGTAACAGAAGCAGTACCATCTCAGTATCGCTGTTTTTGTAGCAAGGCTGTTGAACCTCTGTGGAATCGTCAAGATACTCCGCACACATGTGGAGAGGTTTGCGGAAAATCACGGGAAAGTCAGCGACCATTATGTGTTCACCATTGTACCTTGCTTTGCCATCCCGGACCGTGCCCTCCTTGTCTTGCTCAAGTTGTTAGGTGAGTCATCAATACTAACATTTGTTCATAAAATTTATTTATCTTAAGCATCATGTTAAAGGAATGTTTTTATCTTATTTATCAGAAATTGTGGATGTGGGAAAACTTCTCAAATGGTGAAGTGTGCTTTAGAAAAGCCATTGCTGTGTGAATCGATTTGCGGACAACCTCTTAACTGTGGAGCTCACTTCTGTGAACTTAGCTGTCATACTGGATCCTGTGAACCTTGTCAACTTAAAATTGAGCAAGGTTGGTCAGAATGTGCTTCATGTCATACTCATATTTATTAATTATATCCTTGGTAATAACAGGTTTCTGATTATTTTTTTCCAGTCTGCTTTTGTAAGAAACAAAAGAGAGAGGTTGATTGTATCAAAGAGAACCAGAATGTTTTGGAATTCAGCTGCAGTGATGTTTGTGGGCACAAATTATCTTGTGGGAACCACACTTGTGAAGAGATTTGTCATGAAAATGAATGCAAACCTTGTCAGCTTACTCCAGATATAGTTACTCATTGTCCATGTGGACAGACAGAGCTAAGCTCAGAACCAGACAAGAAGAGAAAGACTTGCACTGATCCAATTCCAACTTGTGGCAAAGTGTGCGCCCGAAAGCTTACTTGCGGTCAGCCAAGCAGCCCTCATGTTTGCAAATCTAACTGCCATTCTGGCCCATGCCCCCCGTGCCCTCGGACCACGATGGTTCGATGCCGTTGTGGACACATGGACAGAGAGTTGCCTTGCACTCAACTTACCACCAAGGCTGATGATGCAAGATGTGAGAAAAAGTGCTCTAAAAAGCGAAGTTGTGCCAAGCACAAGTGCAACCAGCCGTGCTGTATTGAAATAGATCACCCATGTCCTCTTCCTTGCAACCACTTTTTGAGTTGTGGTCTGCATCGTTGCGAGCAGCTTTGTCATCGAGGCCACTGCCAACCCTGCTGGAGGACAAGTTTTGAAGAATTGTATTGTGAATGCGGAGCTGAAGTGTTGTACCCACCAGTGCCTTGTGGTACAAAGCCACCTCTATGTACCCGCCCATGTCCTCGCCAACATGAATGTGATCATCCTGCTTTACATAGTTGTCACAATGATGCCAATTGTCCTCCTTGCTCAGTTCTCACCACAAAACATTGCTATGGAAATCATGAGGTATGAACAGAACAGACTTTTCAAACGTATCAAGTTATTTAGCTTCATATTACTCAGTTTCTGATACATACTTCTTTTTCTCTGCAGTTGCGTAAAACTATTCCTTGTCACCAGAAAGACTTCTCTTGTGGTCTTCCCTGTGGCAAAGAGTTGCCATGTGGTCGGCACAAATGTATTCAGTTGTGTCATAAGGACGACTGCCTGCGCTCAGGTGGTGTTTGCACTCAACCATGTGTTATTCTACGACCCACCTGCCAGCATCCATGCTTAGCTCCTTGCCATGAGGGAAATTGTCCTGATGTACCTTGTAAAGAGACGGTAAAGTACTTTCCTTAAATTTGTCATGTCCATGCAATCAACTTCCCTTCGGTTACACTAAGCTATGTTCTGTGGTTAACAGGTGAGGGTCACTTGTGAATGTGGCCATCGTTCAGCTATGCGACCATGTGCTGAAAACACCAAGGAATACCAACGTATTGCTACCTCAATTCTAGCCTCTAAAATGGCTGATGTACAACTTGGCCACAGCATTGATATTGGTGACATTATGGGAAATGCAAGCACCAAGAAGCTCTACCTTAAGTCGTAAGTAGCTTAACAGATGATAGTAGGTATAGTTTTGTTGGAAATATTGACATTGATTGTTTTTTTTAAATCTTAGGCTTGAATGTACTGAAGAATGCAAAGCCATTGAAAGGAACCGACGAATGGCTATAGGTCTCCAAATTCGTAACCCTGATCTTAGTCAAAAACTAACCCCTCGTTACTCTGACTTCATGCGAGGCTGGGCTAAGAAAGATCCTGCGTTTTGTCAATATGTCCATGATAAGCTCTCAGAATTAGTAAAATTGGCCAAAGAGGTATTGTTGATTTTCTCCTTGCCAGTAGGTTTTCTATGTGGGTAGGTTTTGTTCTCACTTAGTATTTTTGTTTCAGTCCAAGCAGAAAAGTCGAAGCTATTCATTTGAAGTAATGAACAGAGAAAAACGCCAATTTGTCCATGAGTATTGTGAACATTTTGGGTGTGAGTCTGTTGCCTATGATCAGGAGCCTAAACGAAATGTTGTTGCAACAGCTCAGAAAATAAAGGTGATCCTAAATTAAAATCATTGCCCAGTCGAACTTCTTTGTAGTTCAAAGCAATTCTAATTGGCTAAATATTTTTGCAGGCTTGGCTGCCAAGTGCGAGCTTGCTAGAGCTAGTACAGCGTGATGCTGGACAGCGCAGAGTACCAGGGCCCATGTTGAACTCTGTACAGAAACCAGTTTCCCGGTAAGTTGTTTGCCTTGGGATGACTGCATCTGAGTGAGACAGACTTCCTAGCATTTCATGATGTTTTCAATTTGTTGTTTCAGGGGAATGGATACCTTGTCAATGAAGTGGACCACCAAGCCCCCTGGAAATGGAGCAACTTCTTCGTCATCCCATAGCAGTGTTTTGAATTCTGTGTCAAGTCTGTCTGATGACTATTATGCGGGTGGCTCATCGAGCAATACATTTATAGACCACTTCAATTCATGAATGTAACTTGTTAAGCAGGGTCATATTAGTATAATGTGTAAATGAAATTGGTTAAGTTTCTGCCTTTGTTTCTTTATTTATTTACTTTCTTTTTACAAGGAAACCGGTTTTCTTGTAACTGAATCTTTTATTAATTGCAAAGACTGATTCAATGTTAATGCCCACAGCAAGGGAGGATATGTTACTGTGCAAGTGGTAAGCTTTATTTTGGCATTGAATGAAAGTCTTTTGAATGGGTAAACTGTACTTTCGTAAATGGCTTTCACAAATTTTTTTCATTGGGCCGTTGATTTACCAGAAGTTTGAAAACACAACGCTTTTTAAAGTTGTTATTAATTTCACCTTTCTCTTGAGATTTCAGTGGATACCTCTTCTTTTTTCTTTGTATTAGTATGGTTTTTCCTAATTTTGGTTGCACTCAGTGTGTGCTGTATATTTACCTGGTTTTGGGGCTGAAATAATAAAGTGCTTATCTATGACTGGCATATTATTTTCTTTTCTTTGTTTCTTTTTTTCCCTTTTTGTGTCTTTTCTTCATAATTTATTTTGTGAAACATGCAAATTTGTATCTGAATTTAGTGGCAACTGTGTGAGTGGCGGAATTGTTGTTTTGACTCTTAAGTCTGAAAAGTTTTTGCTATTGAATTCTTTGTCCACCTTTGTGAGAGCCTCTGTCCAATCATTTTCTCACTGTTATTTTTTTCCTAGATAATAAAAATGGTTCTGTACATATAAAATTAGGAAATTTGTGTAATTTTTATACTGTGTTAACACAACCGTTCTCTTCAGAAATTAATGTTCCTTGGCTGTTAAGAAAATTAATATGAACATAAGAAACAATGTGTTTCATGAATTTCATTGTTGTTTATAAAAGTTCAATAAATGCCTTCAATCACCAAGATAGTTGCCTTACTCAACTGACCCAGGCCCAAGTTATTTCGAATCAAGCTAGTAGTTCCAAAATCATTATTGGGATAACTTTTTTTGTTCAAGTAATTATTCGTTCGTACGTATAAATACATGGATGGGTTCAGCAGGGTGTTACATTGGTCCCATCCTTACGGTGGAGTGCCGAGGGAAGCGAAATCGATCTGGCAGGAGAAAGAGAAGGAGCGCAATGAAGCTCAACAGAACAGAGAGAGAACGCGTGAAAACAAGCCACCCAGCAGACGACGCACCGCGTCGGCCGTCGGCAGGCCGTCGGCGTGGAGCCCGAAGCTCCGAAGGCACCCGAAGCCGTAACGACCCCACCTCCCCTCGCCATATTCGGCATTCGGCTCGTTGCACCGATACTCCTCCCCCTCCCCTTCCCCGCGAAGCAACAGCTATCCTCGTCGCACCCCCCGCGGAGCGCGGGGTTCCAGACAGAGACAGGCAACTTTTCGAGCGCAGCCCAGCGCCTCCGAAGTGGCTCCGAAGTGCCGAGCCGCTTCGCGCCGAGCCGAGCGCCGAGCGCGGCCGCGGGCCCCAAAGCAAAAGCAAGCATGCTGCGCGCCTCAGTGCGAGGCTAGCGCAGCCCGAGAACACAGTGCAGGGCGGGAATTCTGCCTCTTGCGAGACGCCGCGCGTTCGAGCACGAGCCCCGCACGCAGCACGGCGGTGCAAGGCGGGCGTGCGCTGCGTGCGCGTCGTGCGTGACACGGGTGGGCGTGCACGGCCCCGGCCTGGCGAGCGTCGCTCCGGCCCCTCCCCCCGCGTGGGCGTGCGGCCCCCTAGGCCCGCCGTCGTCGCCGTCCTGCGACATGAGGGACTCCGGGGGCGATAAGATGGCCGTCGGCGAGCTCAAGTTCGAGGCCCCGCTGGCCCAGTTCGAGGAGGCCGAGGACTGGGGGTCCGTGGACTTCAGCAAGACGGGCGGCCACGGCGTGGCGCAGGACCTGCAGGACGACGTCCGGAACTCCAACAGCCCGCTGCACACCAACAACCACAACAACCACCACAACATGAACGGCATGCACGCGAGCCCGGACCACCACAATCAGCGCAACAACGCCCACGTCCAGTGCGACGACAACGTCCAGCTCGTGGACAACCTGCAGCTGGACAACGCGGCCGTGCTGAAGGCCAACGCCGCCGTGGCCGCCAACGCCGCCAACGCCACCACCAAGCTCAACGGAGTCCACGGCGGCGACGCCGGCGAGGACAACTTCCTGGCGGAGACGTTCTCCGGGTCACTGGAGGACCTGGTCAACACCTTCGACGACAAGATCACCAAGTGCTTCTGCAACTACGACGAGTCGGTGGAGAAGCTGGCCCCCGTGCAGGTGCGGACGCAAGAGGAAATCATGAACGAATGCCAGTAAGTATTACAGCCGACCACCGCATTTCATTTTACTCCAGCGTTCGCGGTATTGCAGCCGATTGCAGCATTGCATCGTGCGGCGGATTCGACCTCCTGGCCAATGTCCTCCGCGACATCCTCCTACTCCCAGGAATGCGAATGCGGCCCCCTCGCTTTGTATCTCGTTGTTTGTTCTCAGAATCACCCCTCCCTCCCCTCCCCCTTCATCCCTTCCGCGCTCCGCGCCTCCCCTCTGCACTCCCCTGGCTCCGCGGCCGCGCCGTCTGCGCATGCTCCTGGAGCCTGGCAGCATCACGGTGTAGTGGCCGGGGCTGGGCTGGGCTGTGGTCGCCATTTTGGCAACAAAGTCGTTCACTCCGGGGCGAAGCAAGCGAAGCAAGCGAAGCAAGCGAAGCGCAAAGCGACCACGCACACGCCTCGCCAAACCAGCAAGGCCGAAGAGGGCAAGGGCTGCCTGGGGGCATCCTCCGAATGGCATGGCCTGTGTCCTGGCGCGATGCGCGATCAAGATCCAGCTTCGCCTCCATTGGCGATTGGCCGTGGCCGTGGGGTACACTATCAGCGGATTGCCTACCCTCACGGCGACACTACACTGCCATAAATGGCCTACAAGGCACAATGTATGCTGAGAGCTGAAGCTGAGAGAGCCATCAGAAGATGATGCGTGAGTCAATCGGGGCCGTCTGCATGGCGTGGCCTGCATGCAGAGATTCCCCCTGTCGTGCCTCGGGTGCCTTTGCGTTCCTCGCTCGGACTCGTGCGAGAGCTTTCACGCTCGGTTTAGCGGCAATCCGAGTCGAGCCGAGCCGGCCGGGTGATTGAGCCGAGCCGAGCCGAGCCGGTGCGACGGTGCACTTGTAGTGCTGCGGCGTCGCGTTTCGGCGTGATCCTCGATCCTCATTTGGATTGGCCAGGTCTGGGTCGTCCCCTCCTTCCCTTCACTCTCCTTCGCCGGCACGACGAAGAAACATCCTCGAGGACAAGACGCCGCCGTCTTGACCGCACGGTCTGCGCCACGGGGAAAAAAGGCGGTGCTCCGGACGGCCGCGGCCAGGTAGACCCGTCCCTGTCGAGGAGCCCTGATGGAAGGGTTACCCAACAGATGGGTCGACACCTTCCAGGTGTAAATTAGTAGCTGTTTGCGGGTCTTTATGCCCTGTGGACGGGGCCTTCGAAAAAAAGGGACACACGTCCCGAACCAGTAGTTTAGTTGCCGTGGGTTCAAGTCATTGACTGACTGTTCGACCCGGTGTGGGGAAAAAGGAGGGGGAGGGGATTTGATGAGGGCTGCGCCGCTGCGCCTCGGCGAAGACCTGCGTCTTAGGTCGGGGTGAACGGCACTCGCCCCTACACTGTCTTGAGGCCCCATCGCCATTCGACGCTGTGCTGAGTCGGCAGCAGACGTTTTCGTCACTCTGTCTCTGTCTCTCTCTCTTGCACCTATACGGGGCACACTACAAGTGCGAAAGAGATGGAACGAAGAAAACGACTCTTGGAATCGGTCTGCTGAGACGCTTCATTCTGCTGGCGTTGATGTTTCGGGAGGTGTCTGGTGTCCGAGCCCTGCTGATTCCCCGTAGGAACTAAGGAACCTCTGCGCAGTGCATCACGGGAAGTCATTCCATGTCCTCGCCGGCGCGGACGACGCAGTCATAGAGGACGCCGCGCTGGTTGTAGGCGGCGGGGGCGGTGCCGTTTGGGCTTCGGCCATGATCAAAGCGCTGGCCGTTCTGAGCCGCGGGCCCCGTCGTGATGCCCCCGTGTGTGCCGTGTGGGAGTCTCCAGGCTCACGGGGCTCACGGCGTCCACCAGGAAGCGGCGCGGACAAAGGCAGGGCACGGCAGGGCACGGCAGGGCACGGCAGGCCAGACGTGGCCGATAAAGAAAAGCGTGGACCGCCTCGCCTCCGCGCCCCGCCCCGCCCCGCCCCGCCCCGCCGGCCACACCTCCGCCTTTCGGCCTTTCGTCTCCCGCGGGCACACTGTGTGCACTTTGATCCCTCGCGCTCTCTCTCGCACCCCTGCGGGCCCCTACGGCACGCCGCACGAGTGCGAGAGAGACAGAGCAACGAGAACACTGTTCGGAATCAGGCCGACTCGGCGTCAGCGTCTTGTCTGCGTCTTTTTGACGTGGCCCGATGCGGGCGCGTTCACGTGAACAGGTGGATTAGACGGCGCTTTGCGAGGGCTAACCTCCCCCTCCCCCCTCGCCCCCGCCTTGCCCGCCCCTCGTCGCGGCGGTGCGGCCCTAGGGTGCGGCGGTGCCTTCCCAGGGGCTGGTACAGGTCATCACTCCGCCGTGGCTCGGCGTAGTGCGCGTAGTGCATCGTGGTGGTGTGCCCCAGATCGACTGTTCGCCCGGCTCGCCCTCGCCTTCGGCCAGGCCGCCGGCGTTCTATAGACACACAATCGGTCAGTTCGCTTTTACTACAAACGTGTTCAAAATTTGTCCAGAGTCAGCGCTCAGGGACGCCGCGCCAGTCGCTCGGCGTCGATCGGCCGAGCGGCCATGGCGCGATTGCAAGGCAATGCAGGTCGCGTCGCTTGCCCTGCCTGCACTGCTTGCACGCGCGGTGTCATTTGCGCCCCTAAATGGCGCCGCGTTTTGCGTTCTTGTTGTGCATGGATGCAGATGGTACCCCTGGATCGATGCCCCCTCGGCGCCCCCTCCTCCGCCTCACCTCGCCCCGCTGCGGCAAGAGGGCCCCTCGCTCGCCCTGCTTTGCCGCCGGCGACCAAGCACCACCAAGGCCCCGAGCACAGCGTGCGCGCACACACACACACACACTCGCCAAAAGAAAGTAAAACCGAGCGCTCGGGGGAAGGGACTGCAAAATAAAATAAATTTGCGGCCAGGATGGCGGCGGCTGGCGGCGCGGTCGGGCTGTGTGCCTTGTGCGTGTCTGCACGACGCCATGGCCGCCCTGGCCGCCCTTACGGCCAGACGTGCCTCGTTCTCGTGCCTCCCGGCGTGGCGTACACTATGCATTAGTGACGGGGCGCCCCTGCATCCACACTGGCAGGCAGGTGCATTGCGGTGCATTGCCGCAGCCCAGCCATGCGCACCCAGCCCATCCTGCGGCGCGGCGGCGCGGCGCATGTCGTGAGTGCAATTTCCGGCGGCAAGACAAACGGAAATGGAAATGGCGCTTTTGGCTTTTGGTTGGCCCGACCCGGCCACGCCGGTGGCACCGCTGGCCGCGCGCTGCGGGCTGCGCTGTCTCTCTCGCACCCATGCGGCGCCTCGTTATGCGCAAGAGGGATGACGGCATGTTCGGAATCCAGACTAAGTCCGAGTACACTGTAGACTCCCGGCCGCCCCCACGACCCCCGTCCTGGCGACGGCGGCACCCCGAGCGGCCCGCCCGAGGTGGATTGGCAGTGCTGCAGCAGGATGTGACAGCGGCAGGAGCGGGAGGGACGTGCGCGTGTCCCCCAAGGTGTCCCCGCCCCGGGGTACCGCCGCGCTACCAAACTTCGTGGCGCCCGGTGGCGTCTCTGGTGGTGGTGAAGGTGGTGGTGGTGGTGGGCTGCTTTGCCCGGCGGGTCGGACCCACCTTTCTTGGCGCGCCTTGGCGGCGGTAACGGATGGCCTGCCCGCTGAAGCACGTGAAATGCATGCAGGCGCGCCTCGCGAGTCGGCCATTCGGATGAATTCGCCACGAGCCGAAGAGAAGCATTGAGCAGGTCGCGTCGGTGTTTGGGGCCCGCCTCTCCCCATCTAATATTGAAACTCACGGCTCGCCGTCCCACATGCGCGGACTGGAGTGCCGTCTGTCTCTCTCGCACCGCTGCGGTTCGCCCCGTGAGTGCGAAGGAGACAGCGCGACCGAAGATGCCGAGGGCCGAGCGGGTGCACTTCGGAAAGAACTGCGACTGCGAGTCGCTCCCCCACGCAGCCGGGCCGGGCCGGGCCGGCTGGAATTGTTTTAAATATTGATCCTCGTGCAGTGCGCCGCGCTGCGGTCGGAGTACCTGTGGGCTGCGGGTACTTGCGGGTACTTGCAGTGCGGCGGCGCCGCCTCCCCGGAGTGCTGAGCGCCCCGCCGACGGGCTGGCTGCGCGCACACTGTACAAACTGCGCCGCGCGCCACCATCAGCGGGAATTACGGAGGGCACTTCCCCGAGTGACTTTTACGGCCGCAGCGACACGACGCCCTTCTTCATGCAGTCGTCCACGTGATTTATCGAATCAACTCGCTCTCCGTGAATTCTGCTGGTGAAAAAGTGAGCTGATTTTTCAGCGAAGCCTCCGTTGTGCGCGACGACGACAAGGTTTTCATTTCGGAGCGTGTAGGCGGTCGCACGGGGCTGGAGTCGTGGCGCCAGTGCCAGGCCTAGAGGCGCCTAGAGGCCCTGGGGTGGACGGCTCTAAAACTCCGCGGCGCCCCTGGACCAGCGGGCAGGCCGGCACGGCGACGCGGTCCTAAGTCTCCCCCTCCCTCCCCCCGTTGCCATGGCGGCGCCCCGCGGCGCCCCGCCGCGCCCCTATCCGGCCCGCCATCTGGCGCCCCTCTGTACAAACCTGGGAATCACGGCTGGAAATACGGCGCCGGTGCCGGTATTCGATCCCGGGCCCGGCGGCCTGGAGTCGCCCGCGACGCGCCGCAAGCAAGGGCGTCTGGGGCGGCCTGGGCCTATCGACCGCGCGGCCTGCGGGGAAGCATTGGCGCCGTCCTGGGTCCTGGCGGTCGCGTGCCGCGGCGCGTGACGTCACCCAGGCTTCCGGCGACGGCGATCCGACGGCGTGCTGCTGACGGGGTGCTCGGGGGCTCTACACACAGTGTACGCAACAGACGCGCACTGTGCGTCGTCGGAGGGGCCCGCCCGGCCAGCAGCCTTGGCCCAGTTGTCCGCGGCGCCAGTGCGGCGATGGGGCGGTTCAGAAGGGTGTGAGTCGAGTCTGCCGGGTGGTGCGGCAACCACTGGCGCCCGAACGCGGCGAACGCGGCGAACGCGGCCGAGTGCGGACCGGGCACACTGTGATGCGGCAAGGCCATC